CCATTAGCTAATACTGCTGATGCTGCATGGCACTATCATTTGACTGGTGAATATGGGGTCGCAGTTGACAAAACCGTTTGTCATTCTAGCCTGTTGGCTCTGGGCTATGGGTGCCAGAAAACTGACGGATACGTTCCTTTTTATGCGGAACAATGCTATCCAGAATAGGCATTTTTCAGGCAATTCGCAATTAGTAAGCTGTTGAAATTTTTAACGCCTCATAGCGTTCATCAGACAAGGAAAAATTACTAGGTGATTCCACGAATATTGAACTTGGAGCTACCAAGCTCAATAGTGGATTGCACGAGTGGCAAAATATGGTTAAATCAATCAACTTCCAGTTTACTGTAATTCGGCAGAAAAGTACGACTTTTTACGGCACCTAATCCTATGGTTTAGTAAAGGAACTTGTGACCTTACACGATCGCCATATAATGGCTGCAAAATTGGATGATAACCTCGATGAGGATCAAGAAGTTGAGCTTCAAACGAAGGAATTGACACAGGTTTAAAGCCTTGGGCTCAGAAATGCCCATATTTTTACCCATTTCATTAAGTATGGCTGCTCTGATTTAGCTCTTTACATTGTGTCATCGCCAATTGTCGCAACTAACAGCATTGAAGCGGAAAATTCAGATGAGTAGCAGAGCACAGCCTGATAATTTAATGACTAACACACTTTCATCCCTTGCTCGGACGCTGCAAGAGCTCTCCCTAACTTTCAGAAAAGTTCAATCACAGTACCTAAACGGTGAGCACATTGCACTAATTCCGCCTTACATTTCGGGTTGAAGCTCCTAATTGTATCATTTATTTCAGAATTAAAAGCAAGGGATGAACGAATTCGTGGGTACCTGAATATGGCTCTGGGCTCCGAACTTACCGCTGACGACGTGGCTGGTTTGGCTGAGTTTGATCTTCTTGAAGTAAGGTCCTCTCCTTGCTGACTGCCTCAGTTACATTCGTGTCCTGCGATGGTTATGCATTGTTTTTTTAGCCTGCCACTGGTGATCAGACCCAATTGCTTCTGGCGGAAAACACGAAGGCTGTTGAGCGGCGGGAGCAGGAAATAACACAGATCGTCCGATCTCTCCATGAATTAAACGAAATCTTTCGTGATGTTGCCCAGCTTGTTGTAGATCAGGTGAGTTAATAATTTTTTGTGTGATTTTTCCTTTATTGGTCGTATCGATAAAGTTATATTCAGTTACTTCTACAAATATGACTCGTAAATTTAATGAGTGATTTTTTTGTGTTGCTAAACCTTCATAGATCTCTGTGCATATTTTTTACCAGGCTTGATTATGTCAGTGTAATAGGTTGCTCATTTACTGTTACTCCCCCGCACGTTTACTCTCCATGACTTTTGGGGGAGCCATATTTTTAATCTCGAATTGAACCATGCTGCAAATATGTGACTTAGGGAGAACTTTTACTTGTCAGATGCTTACTAAGCTCAAACTCTGGGTGCTTTTAACATACTGCATAGGGAACTCTTGTCGATCGCATTGATTACAATGTGGAACAGACACAGGTTCGGGTGCAGGAGAGCCTGAAACAGCTAACAAAGGCGGATTCGCACCAGAAGCGAGATAAGAAACTCCTCGTCATCTTCGTTTTGGCTTGCCTTGTTATGGTCCTCGGTACTATTCTAGTGTTTACCAAATTCACCTGACTTCGTGTTTTACTACTTCTATCCACTTGTCTGTCTGTTTTCGTCTTTGTGTGTCTGTACAGTGGCACCTGTGTCTTTCATGCTTCGTTAATTTCGTTCCGCCCTGATTATGTCCACCGTTATTCTTGCACAGTTGTACAAACTGTATTTTTATTTTCTGACCTATATTTGCCCTCATCTGATCTTAACGCCTCTTTTCTTTCACAGAAAGGAATATTTTAACCCAGTCTCCATCAGACTTGAGCCGATCGGTTACTGTCATATTTAGTGACTTGTACAGACATCAGCTCGAAGTTGTAAGGCTAGTTGCTTCTACAAGGGTGGATGACCTACAAGTTTCATCAATTTAACAGTCATCAAGCGTAGTTATAGCTGCTTTGCATTGAGTATCCGGGAGTGAAGCCATTTGCACGGATGCCCGTCTGCTTGTCGAATGCAATTCTGTCCCTGGCTGAGCCGAGCATGCCCCTTTTTCAACAAAACAGTCAGTTGGTGCGGTAATTCAAGCCAATATGTTTGTTCCCCTTTCATTAATATTAAGCTCTTGACGCTTGGATAGTCATCCTAAGTACATTTCCAATGTTCCGATTGTCCTCTCTACGTCTGATGTCAAAAATGCGTGACATTCCTTACCAGTTTATAACGACTGGCTGCGCCAAGTCAGGTTGGTTGAGGCTATGATGACGAAATGGATGTAGAATGCCTTTGGTTTGAGAACAAATGCTTCTTTAGTTTTGAACAGTTGAGCTGGTCATTTCGGAAGTGCATGTCCTGGTGCCGCGTTAGATTTAAACCGGTTGGATACTGCCCTCCCTTCCCCCTCCGATAGGTTATCTCGACAATGGCAATCGGCTTAACTAACGGCGTCTTGACTTTAACCATCACGGAAGTGAGTTGGCCTGTAAAGAAGACCAAGGTGACTAACAGAGTCCTAATCTGTTTAGATTCGAGAGAGCCATCGGTGCGCCAACACCTCTGAAGATGCACATACAGAGCCAGGGCTTGATTGCAAGTCGAGACACGCACGCAATCATGAGAAGCGCATTGACGATGGTTAGATCCTGGCAACTTTGCCTAAAGCCCTCAGAGGAAACAATGCAGAAGACTCCTGCTTGAAGATAATACAGTAGCAGTAATTATATTTTTATATATAGAAATGAGACAGACTATACACAGAGACGGTGGGGGAGAGAGAGCAAAAAGCCGGATGGCGCCACTCTTGGAATGGGGGAAAGGAGATAAGTGAAGAAACTGAGAGAGAGAGAGGTGGGATAGAGCTCCACACGCAAATTCCCGGCCTCTCGTACCCTGGCGCTTAACGTGATGCGTGTGTGTGTGTGTGTGTACAAATCATTACGTGAGGCGAGGAGTGAACTAAAGAACCCTGTTTACCGAGCATGCACGGAGTCGCGAAATGTGTCTGTGGGTGTGTGGTTGTAGGGTAACATCAAGAAAGAGTGATAGAGTGGTATAGCACACCCGAATCACTACCACATGGATGCATGTGTGAGAGTGGAGAATAGAGGGAGAGAAGGAAAAGTGCATCTCCGACTACTCCAACTCCGGCGAGGATCGAAGTGGACAGGAGGAGGTACTCGGTGAGGCGTTTCCACGGTAAACGACGGTATTTGAAGTGGATGTTGACGTCGCTGTCACCGCATTCAGTGCGGCACCCTCCTCACCCGACCTGAAACCCATCACATCGGCCACGCCGAAGCTTAGCGGCGGAGCTTCCCGTTTTACTCGCAGATCACCGCTACACCTACCATTGGTAACGATAGCAGAGGCAGCGGACCTGATGGTGGCGGTGGTGATTGAAGTGACTGTGGAGGTGTCGGCAGCCAGTGTGGTACCCTGTTGGGTGTGTGGGAAGTTGTTCATCTTAGGAAGTGGGTAGGCGGAGGGGGAAGGATTAGAACCCTGTGTTTCCCGAAGTAGCGGTGCCAGTGACTTCGGGTCACCCTGTGATATTATCATTTCGGAGGCGGAAAAACGTGCCGCCGCGCCTGGAAAACAAACGGCAGTCGCGTTGGTAGCAGAGCGAGAACTCAATCCCCAATAGTTCGCACCATCGCCACTACTTGCATAGGGAGCGTTTGATACGCTTGTATACTCTCCCGACGCCTGCTGATGCTGCCGTGGGGTGGATGTTATTGGGAACGGTCGTTTATTGCTAAAAAACGCAATTATCAATAAATATTATCCGTGTAAAAGACCAATAATGTCCCCGACCCTAGAAAACTACCTGCCGCCGAGAGACGGGTGCGTGTATGTCGAGTTGGCAGCAGCAGCAGCAGTGGTGACAGAGATGTGTTGTGGCATCGGTTGCCGTGTAAAGGGGCGCTGTGGACCAGCCCCAACACCGTTGTCGAAAGGCGATACCGGGGTCTGGATAAACGATTGTTTTCGTAGATGGGCACCCGAGGAAATCTCTGCGAGCCCGGCGTAAGCACCACCACTGGCATTGGTGTGTCGACGAGATGTGGAAAACATCCCATAGGGATGATGCGGTGCTTGTGGTGGTGGTGGCTGCTGATGTGGATGGTGATGGTGATGATTGAAGGCCACCGCCGCGGCTGCTGCTGCTGCCGCAGCGGCTGAATGTGCGTGGTAAGGATGATACTGTGGCATGTAGTCGTCAACCTCGTTTTCCGAAATGAAGCGGATGCACTTCTTCTTTCGTCTACAATTGATGAAGCTCTCATGAGTCGCAGTCTTTTGATTCAAGTCGTAGAATTAAGTGCTAAAGCAAGTATCTAAGATAACCGACATGGGAGGAGGGTAAAGAATGCTGTCTGGTTGAGGAAAGAGAAGGAATGCGATTAGTCATGTTTTCGTTTCAAGTTGTCATAATCTTACACAGGTGTTGACGTTTGACTCACGCAAAGAATCACATACAGGTAAGTTTAAAAGTCCGCTGTCATAGATCACGAGACTACATTTCTCTTCAGTGGTGCAAACAGGTGACTCTAAAAGGATCCAATTCAAGTGAAGTGTTTGCTAAAACCTCTTCTTTAACGCTCCTGTGCCATTCACTACCTTTTTGCCATTTGCGACTTAGCACCCGTTTTGTAGGTAACGGATCCCCAGTCCAGCAATATCGCTGTCTTTCATCACTAACAGGGATTCGAGAGACACCTGATATACTTCAAAGAGTACCTTTCATCTCTCTTTTGACAATAAAGTGATTACTTTGTGGCTACTGTTTCACTACTGTCGATGCACTGATGCAATGAGCTCCTGGTAAATATCACCGAGGGGTAAAACAATTAAAGGCGACAATGTAGGTATTAAATGATAAATTTAACAGCTCTTGTTATAGTTAATCACCATGAAATCCCTGGCAATGGCGGGAAATAATTTGGCTCTACACATTCATACTTCCTAATCAACCAGGACTGAATCAGGTCAGCGAGATCTCATAAGGAAAACCACCACAGCATTGAAATTTTTTATTGTTCTCATCCGATAATAAACTGCTTTTATCATGTTTGCCCTTTCTGAACCGCTTCACTGCCCTTTACTTATAAATGTAACGCATGAAATACAGATGCAACAAATCGCGACTCCATTTGCGGCACTGGTAGCGAAAGGGTTGAAGAGCTTATAAAGATTTGAGTGGAGGACAAGTATAAAAATTTAACCAAACCCGCTACTTCTAGACCAAAGCTATGTTCCCTAAAGTTAGAACTGTGACGCATGGCTTAAAGGGGTTCGGATATTTGTGTTGAGGAGACCTACCGACAAGGCTTGCACCACAGATTCTGATGCTCAAGACCGAATCTTGCGCGACACTTCTTCATACTTCCACCTGATAGCTCGCCCACCGCCATTGCTGCTACCGCTGCAACCGCCGCTACCGAATCGCTATTCATTGCCGCCGCTGCGGTCAAATAGGGATTCCGTTTTATACCCACAGCCGATTGGTGTGAGGCTGTCTGTGGGCCATGGTAACCCCAATATCCTGTCGATGATCTAGACATCGTCCCTCCTCTGCCTTGACCCTGCGCCGATGCATACATAGATACAGCGGTAGCAACGGGAGCTGAGACCATGGAGGAGGAAGAAGAGGAGTAACCGAAGGCTCTTTGAGGTGACATTTGCAAGAATTGTTGAGAATGTGGTTGTTGTTGTTGCTGATGATGATGATGCGCGGCTTGATTGTAGTGATGCTCAAATGCAGAACACGCTGACATTGTCAGTGCATTGTTGGCAAGATTAGGTGTTGGTCTGGACAATGCAGCAAGAGCTTGTGGCGGTGGCTGTGATGGCGCTTGTAGTGGACTCACAAATGCTGCTGTGTGTGGTGGTAACTGCGACTGTGTTGGTGGTGGCGGCGGCAGTGAAGGACGAGGTGGTGGTGAAGAGCGCGTTGCTACTTGCTGCTGCTGCTGTTGTTGGTGTTGTTCAGGTACCCTGTTTGTTATCACCGGTGATTGAGGAGGAGGAAGTGGAGAAGAGAGAGGTGACAAAGAAGTCACTCGTCGTTCTATCGAAGGTGAGTAGACATCGTTTGTGGAGTGTGGACGCTCAAGAACCTTCTGAGGAAACTCCAGCGCCTTCCGATCTTCATGAAAACTGGACGAGCGGAAACGACTGGCAGGAGACGTCTTAGAGGCAGTATTGATAGTACTAGAGCTGCTGGTTGGTTTGTGGACAAAGGAGCGATGGTGGGGAAAAGGTCGTCGGCTACGACGATGGCGCCGGCGAGCGTGATAGGCGTAATTGTCGCGTGCCGACCAGCCTGGGTAGAGGCGCTGGTGAAGCTCCTTTGCCTGTCTTGCCATCTCATAATACTTTGTCTGCTCGGTCCGCGAGAGCTCATGCCACCTTTTGCCTAAAATCTGGTTGATTGCTGCGGACTCCTTTAATGTGCACTCCTCCTGCACTCGTGGGCGCATTTCCTTCATAAAGAGCATGAAAGCGTTCAGTGGCTTCTTTATGTGCGTCTTTTTCAATCGGGAAAGCAACCGACCACCATCAGGCTCACTTGAGACCTCATCCTGGGGCGAAGATGCCGTTGTGTCAGGGTCACAGTTAGGCTGACTAAAAAAGCACAATGTGGTTTAAGTGTTAATGATATTGCTATTATAATTGCATGTCAGTGTCCGCACTTCCTTGGCACTTAATATACCGTTGCCATAGCGCAATTAAGTAGCAATAAAATTACAAACCTGGCACGGCACACTGATAGGAGGGCTGTTTCACGAGGATGTCCAATTTCTCATTAATTTCACCTTTACCTAATCTAACAAACACCCATCTCACTGGACAATCACGTGAGGAACCATTAGTACCCGCTTAAGAATCGTTGATGAAACTAGAAAAGTACATGGCAGTACTGTTTTGGGCTACCTTATTTACAGGAAATTATCCATATCTCATTATCCTTGTGATACCAACCATCAATCAACCACAGTTTCCTTGTTTTTAACTCAGTCCATCAAATTGCAAGTCATGATTTGCATCAACCAGTTTCCACAAACTGATAGAAAGTGCGTCATCTATTTGTGACACTGGTGGTGTGCATAAGGTAAGACCAGCGTTAAGACAGATCTCAAGTGTATGGGGGTTATATTCCCAGGGGAATGGTTAAGATTTGGGGATTTCTCCTTTTTTTACTTCCATAAATGATTATTCTTCTCAACTGTAAATACCGTCCCGCTTCAGTTTTTGTTGCGTGCTCTCATTTGCGGCTGCCTAATGTTCCTTTTTCCTTTCCATGCCGCAGGAATGGGGAAGGAAACAAAACCCACTCCAAGGGGAACATGGTGGACCTCCAAGGAAAAACTACCACTTACTTTATTGAAACAGACCTCATGTAGAGAAAAATAGGAAGATAATGTTAAATTTTCTCTTTAGCAAACCTAAAATGCGTTATTGTTTTACTGAGGGAACAAGGAGTGGCAGAGGACTCGTCTTCAAGACGCTCGAAGTTTAGTGTGACACTCAAGATAAGTGAAACTAAGATAATACATGGTTGAAAGGACGCTGATTAATTGCCACAGCAAAACGCGGTTTGTTGTGATGATACATTAGATTACGAGAGCGTTTAGTCCGCTGCAATTTGTCCATCATCTTGGCGTCCCAGTCTCCTTAGCCGTGTTTATATCCTCACTGCCCTTCCATTAGCATGCAGCAAGCCGTCTTCCAGATTAATGTGCTACGTTAACGGTTTCAGGGATGACTTAAAGCACTAAAATCGCACCTAGATATACATATGCGTGCATGATTAATTACCTATTCAAGGTTGAGTGATTAACATGAAAGTGTGGAATTCAGGGACAAAATCCATCCACCAATGCAGACGCAATTGTGGGTGATACACAACCCTCCTTCTCCTCCCTGTGCGTGTGCATATGCAATGAAGTCCAGCCGTGGTGTCAACCAAACATAAGACCTGTCACACTTTTGCCATCACTGAAATTACACAAGAACTCACACACTCACGCACACACACACACAGTGCATCAGTCTATCAGGTGTAAACGAATTATAAAAAAGGAGTCACAGCCAAACAATTTGCATTTGTTTAGTGGATTGGTAGCATAAATTAACCATGTAAATTTGCGCATACATCCGTATAAACACAATTTTATGGATATTTCGGTCTTCCGTGAAGCGAATTTCCCTTCCCCAGTACAACTAGTAATTTTTGTTATTGTCAGACCTAACCGAGACTTTTGTGGCTGCGATTAAAAGAATTTCGATGTAAAGGGGAGAAAGATGTCGGTTATTAGTTGCGACCAGTAAAAGGTGACCCTCAATAATTGGTATGATTAGAATACGAATTAGGTAACCTCAAAACAATGTGGAAGCAACCAATCCATTTTACTCCAACGAGGATGTCTATGCCAGCTGCCCTCATATGATAGGAAATACTATTTGAGACCGGAAAAATGAACACATTAACATTACCACAACTTCCCTCAAGAGAGACTAATTCAAACAAATGATGATATCCAGGCTGGATGAGCAAAAATAGCAGTTTAGGCCAGTACTATTGTGAGCTCCATAAGAAATGGATTATGTCCAGCCAAACGGGGTCCACGGCTACAGCGCCGTATACGCGGCGAGAATAGTAGACCACTCCATGCTGTGCGAGTATGTAGGGTTTGGGTATGTGATGAAGAGGCCTGCACAAATGGACGCGAAGTAGGCAGCATTTTATGATACGTGGCGAAAACGGGTGAACGTCATTTTAGGACGCCTAAAACACACTGCTGCTTATATTATTAGACAACGAAGAAATGCACAGAATGAGACAATCTGAAATAACGAAAGTAATTGACTTAAATCTAGACAAAAAATGCTTGTACATCATTCCAGCTTTTCCTAAAAACTGATGCGATGTGCGCCTGTTCTGTGTAGGAGGAATGGAACAAGGACACCTACGATAGTTGAACTAGAGTAAGAGAATTCTAAGAGATGCTACATGGAGTAAAACACGCAATAGTTCTAACAACGTATTTGGTGATACTGCGGTATGCAAATACTGAAAAAGGAAGTCCTGTTCGTAATAAAGTGGTGTGATGCGATAGGATATGATAGAGGCTTAGGCGAGTACCCAAAAAATCCGATTTGTCTAAGTGAAGAGATAATTTGACAAAGCAGAAGAAAAATGGGGCATCTTTTTCTCAAAAACAAAAAAGTGCTCAACGTAGTTCAGAGATTTTTAAATGGACTTGATTTAGATAATAAGACCACGGATAGAAGGTATCTGTATTGGAAGGAAATAATCAAATCCAGATTCAAGACTTTTTTTAAGACAACTAACCGCTTCACAAGTTTACATAAATAATAATTCTAGCAAGATAATGCTGATTACTGCTACAAAATTGGAGGAAAATGATCTTTTGCTTTGATTATGCATTTGATTTCGCAGATCCCATGGTTTTGCAGCTTTGGGTTCCTTTTTTGGTGCAATGGCATTTCAACTATGCTTATGTCTTTTCGGCCCTTCCATACGTTAATTGCAAATCATCTTTTACATGAGTGCGGATATGTGGTAGTACCCAGCCATGGTAAAGGAGAAACGTAAATTTCTCACCGAGAGTTTTGTCGCCCTGATTCTAATGATTTTGATGCAATCGCAGAAGATTGAACCATCCAGGCGTCGGAGGGTGCCTTTCGATCGGGACCGGTGGGGGATGAGGCGAGGGCCCCCTGCCCAGTCCCTCTCGTGGCAGTGGAGGCAGAGGAGTGGTTGGCGGTGGAGGTGGCGGCAGTATTGGTCTGCACCGTCGGCAGGCTGCTAGTGAAGGAGGCGGCAGCAGCAGCCGCAGAGAGGAAGTGCATGTGGGCTGCTGCTGCGGCTGCGAACATGCTGCGAATCCAAGGTAATGATACACCATTCAATCAAGGGGTAAGGTAAGTGGCTGAAGGGTTCAACTGTATAAGGCATCCGATGGAAAATCTGATTGTCACTATATATTTTCTGGAACGTACTACTGCTAAACTAATAGATATTTGGAGATAGTTCAGTTTGTTTAGAATGAATAAAATAACCTGTAGTGGGAAATTTAAAAAGATTTTTGGGTTTTGTAAAAGCATTTTAAAGTGGTTTTAGTCTTTGACCTCTAAATTGTTGTGAAGTCTGGCTACATGTGTGTTTCTGCTACAACTGTCGATATCCCTCAAATGGGAAAAAAAACTAGGCCCTCCTGACATAAAACCTACTACGGCAATGCGATTTGATGTGGAGAAAGTGTCTAGGGTAAAGTCTACCAAACGAGGAGACCCCCACCATTGGACCTTGCTATAAAAGGCCAAATTAGTTCTGAGATAGTATGTAAACATTGTTTTAACATTCCTCAAATGACCTGGAGCTATAAAGTTGAACTGCTTCAGGAAGGAAGACATCACGATTTAACAATGATGAGAACTCTACTTTAGACAAGCTACAATGACAAAAGTGAGAGGTTAGTTGAATTTGAATTCATGAATTCCCAAAATTGACGCCAAAGCAATAAGTATGTTCCGACAAGGTGTGAAGTTCCCATCTAGGGAGTCAGGGTGACTGTATCATGGAAAGATTTAACGCCCTTTCATATTTTCTCAAATAAACTGCTGCTACGTAAGGAGATTATGGAATAGTGATTAATCTAGTTAGGATGAATGATGGTTCAGTGATGACCGGTTAATCCAAAAAACAAGGTAGATGACTTCAAAATACACGAAACCGCAAGTAATAGTGGGTAATTCCGCTTCGAGTACATAATTACTTTGCAAAATAATAAACACAATGATTTTACCATATGAGATTTACTTCGGGATGCCCAAAAAACATTGCCATCGTTTCAGAGGGCATCTGAAAATTACATAGTCTGGATAGAATGAATGCCGAGACGCATGCTGGAAGTTTCAGCGAAAGTGAGATTGGAGGGGTGATACCAAGAGGCTACTTCTAGCCACGCGTATACCACTGCTATAGGTGCCAATTGGGGAAATCTTTGCTAAATTCCTTGATAATGATATGATAAATAAATTTTGAGAGCATAGGAAAGTGCCATTTCAAGATTTCTCAAAACAAATAGCAAGCGCTAAGCCTACTCCAATTGTGCATGAGAGTGCTTAAGCTACACAATTTAACAAAGAATGTCAAAAAACAAGTGTGTGTTTCTCTGAATATAATAATTTGGCAGAACACGTTAATCCCCACCAGGTAAATTGCTGTGATGGAATGTGACCATGGTAATGTGGGCCACAGTTGATGCTGCCAGTATGGACGCTTCCAACTTTCCTTGCAGTTAGGCACTCTGTTCTTAGGCAAGAGTAGAGAACGATTCGAGCAAATGCACATTTTGACTAGAGTAATCAAAAGGTAAACGAATCACAGAAAACCATCCAACGTCGTTTCAATCCAACTTAAAGAGTGCGTTGTAATATACTGGGGCAGCGGATGAGTGACAAGCCTAAGTAAAATGAATGAAGAGACGTGTACTGGGTGATCCTCCACAGCAAAAGTCTTGAAGATGGTTGAACACTTCATGAAGAAAAAAGAAAGAACATATTTCTACCTGCAAGCGCATTGCTGTCGTGACTACGAACATGCTTTAAGCACGGTGAAAAAACTATGCCATTTGGTGTTTCAATTAAATGCGATGATAAGCTGCTAGAGTAATCTGATGTGGTGAGGATCTTTACACTGGATAATTTGATAAGGACAAATAAATCCTAAAAGGGGGCCGAATGAAATTTTAAGATCCCCAAAACAAACCGTTGGCAACAGGGAGGCGCTTGATTCGTTCCGATTAAAAGGGAAGAGAGGGGTTAGGTCGAGATGTGCAAAATGTGTCTCATTCTCGAAGGGAAGATTAAAAATAGCTTTCTTTATTCTATTTAATTTGAAATGAAAAGGGGTCTGAAGTAAATTATTTAGTATAGTAAAAGCCTGACAAGTAAGTGAAGTGTTAAAATGGGAAAGAAGGCATCTGAGTTAACCGATCTGACACAGGATAAGTGATTAGGCAGTAGTTACATCCGGAAAAGGAGGCAATGGATAGGCGATCACTTAACTTCAATTAAATTAGTGCATCTGTTAATTAAACTGATGTGGCAGATGTCAAAAGATTATGACATATGCTATAATAATAATTGAACATCTTTCAAGCATTTCTCAAGTCACCCTGTATTAGGACGGTAAATGAGAACTTTGCCTAGCCTAGGCCTGGTGATTAGGCATACAAGGAGTCAAAGATGCGGTTAAGTGCTATAAAAGATAAGAGGGAGGGGTATTTATCGACAACACCCCAACCATATTGTTGTCTCTACACGACAGTGACTTGTGCCGGTACGGCTGGTGTGAATGCGTGCGGAGCTCTACCATAAACTAGAAAAAGCACCTTCCAAAAGAGGATCCATACAAATGCTTAGAACGACGTATCAATCTGTGATTTTTTCACCTTAAGTAGTACTGACAACTTCCTTTTCATGCAAGGTCTCTAGCCCGCTTCCTGTCTTTACTGTCCTTCAAACAAAGACTGCATGAGAGTGCAATACTACTATAAGTAATGCAATTTTCTTGAATTTCTATAAAGGGTTTTGAGTAACACACAGCAAATAACTTCAAGCTGATGTTAGTGATACTCCCCAACTATCCGCAAATGGTGCTCCATTTGGAAAACACAAGACACCTACTAGTTGACTTCATCTAACGGTGATTGGCCTATGCAAAGTGGATTGACTAGGATACAGCAGCATTACAAAAGACGGGACCCACTCTAAGCACTTGAAGCTGCGGTAATAGATGATTTGTTAGAGAAAAAAGGGTGAATCCCCCGATCAAAAGTATGGGGTATAAAATTGCTTCTTTTTTCGCCCCTCTACTAGCAGAAGACGGGGAAGGTAGTAAATTAATGAATACTTGACCACACACACATACATGAATGGCAGTAAAATCAAACGCTGGTGAGAAATGGCAGAAAAGCGGAGAGAGAGAGAGACCGAGGAAGTAAGTAAACAAACTGACGTTACGGTAGACTAAGACACCCTTCGCCCCACGTGGCCCAATTCAAGAGCGATGACCCTCTCTTAAGACATAGTGGTGATTGGGTGAGGATTGTTGTAAGAGGGAACCACTTATTGCTTTCCACCTCTCAAAAGCTAGCAATTGTTACCTAACTGTAACAGACCTAGAGCTGTTTGGATTGTGTCTACCTATACGAAGCTCTTCAACCTATCGATCCTTCTACACCTTCTTAGGGGAGAGTCCAGGCGATACCCAGAAATCGCAAGCTCAGCATAGACTTCTATGTTTGCTTTGTAAATGCTACCTACTACTTCAGTCAGAAAACTGAGAAAAAATTTAATTTAAAAATGATAATAAACAAGCTGTCACAGGCGAAAGTTTATAAGACATCACCTTTACAGGCTAAGCCATTAATCGCGATAGACAGTTGGCAGGAATATTGACTGTGCAGGTCGAATGATGGAGCTAGGGAGGAAAAGATGGCTTGTCGAAATCACTCGGTCAAGTATGTGCATGGACCAAATAGTCACATCGTCATCGTCATTGTGTTCCTACTTTTTCCTCTTACTGCACCAACAGCAGCAGCAACAACAACCCCCAAGCGAAAGAACATGCCGACGCATTTACATGAATGTGAGGAAAGATGCTGTCCCTCCCTCGCCTTAGTCCATTTTTAGGTGAATCTAATTTGTTTGAGTGTCTGCTTTGGAACTCCACCAAAATTCTTTATCCCAAATCAGAGGGGTGACAAATGAATTACCAAATTCGCTGTATACCAATAATAATCACAATTTCTTCGTTGTAATTACGGTGAACTCCATCCTGTCCACGTCTGGCTTGACATCAGAGATATATCAGGCTAAATTGTCGCGAATCACCACAGAATAAGACGTACATCGAAATCTATCTGCACCTCTCATTTCGATGTAAACCTGCCCTACTTTTAAGCGCCAAAACTTCCTTTAAAATGCGGAAAAATTTTCGTTGGCCTCTGTACTGAACCACTCATGACGAGGCAATTATTATTACTGAATGAATAATAATGTGTCCATCATGTTTTCTATTCCATTTACAAAAAAAAAAAAAAACATTGATGTCAGAAGTCGAGCACGTACACGTTCTACTTTCTGAAGGCTTTTTGGCGCAGTGGTCTGTTTTCTTAGTCAGTTTCACAAATTCTTTTAATAAAATATCCCCTGACAATGACTACACACATTTCTGTTTGATCTAAAACAAATGTAAATACTAAAAAATACGTTGGTCGGATCACTTTGAGGATAAGGGCATGAATTTTGATAAATCAGTTAAAATGCGCATTATGTAGAACTACTACTGATAAGAGATCAGCGTAAAACACGGGTGACTTGAAAGGTGACTGTGGAGGTGGAGTTCCACTAATAACTAGATTAAAATCAAGATGCCTAAGCTCTTCCACATTATTACAACAGAGTCAAAAATGGCAGGCGAATCTGACCACTTGAAGTGCCATTAACAACCAAAACAACATCAACAATAACAATGCATCGTGGGTGGTTTGTCGGAGATAATTTGCCTTAGAGATAATTACTGCAGTCGTCTCCACTCCTCACCTCTCTTCCTACTCTCAAGCACCCAGGACAAACAGACATTTTAGTGCCAGTGATGATGATGCTCGAACACAGGAGGGTAAGGTGGAAGATAGTCGGACGTCTAAAGAAATTGAGGCATTGTGAAGAAACCAGCTGTCTGTGACAGGTAGGATGGAGGAACTACCGGCGAGACTTACTAATCACTCCTTTTAATGGTTCTCAACTAATCAACTTAGGTCTGATAAGTAAACGAGTGGGTAAACATTCAAAGTAACCCGTTGATTCATGAGACATGGACATATCTGGAGTCACAATTTGGTATGCAATTAGATTCCATGAGCAATGTACAAGTAAAGTGGGGCTTAGTTTAACTTTAACAGAAAGCATCCAACACAATGTACTTAAACCAAAAAGCTGCATCTAAATTTGCCTTAATGACAAGTCATTGCGAAACCTATGCGCAAATACCCATGATCTGGATTGAGCATTTACAGTTTTTACGAAAGCACTGAATGCGGATTCTCACAGCAGCTTGGAAGTGAAAGAACAAAGAACCTAGATTTAATACCTTTAATCACACACGCAAACACCCACTTTCCTAAGATGTTAAGCAATGATCAATAGTGAGAAAAAACACGTCATGTTGCATGATGAGTTGCCATTTGACACTCCTTATCATCACTTTCAACCCATGCATCCATGCCTGTGTATACGGCCTTCCATTTCGGTGATATAAATTTAACGGACTCGTGTCTGTAAAGAAAAAAATGCGGCAAAAATACAAGGATTAAACCCTCCCTCCTCCAACATTGAAGATAGTAGAATGCACAACTCACTGTACCACACCACAAACCGAAAACGCATGGACCAGGACATATCCATTGACAGTACATATGTCCATCAACGCTACAAACGCGCGCGCAAACATGTACATAGCATTCGAGGTACGGAGCAACAACAAAGAGAGCTGTAATTAAGGCCTCCTTAGAGACGATGTTGGAAGAAGAGGGGGAGGAAAAGAAAATGGACCAGTGCAGTTGTGCTCTCCCCTGTATCAATCTCGACTACCACCGAGCTAAGAGGGGGAGGAGGGTTGGGGAATGAAAAGGGGGAGGAGAAGGAGGAGGGAAGAAATGAGACTATTTTAAAAAGTATACCAAAAGAAATAAACAGTCTCAAAAAAATAGTAAAAAATTGGAACTTTGGACTGCTTAAAATTTCGGGAGAACCGTCCCAAATATGAAAGGAGAATGAACTAAACCGATTAGTTTTATGGTCGTTAAATGAATACAGAAACACGGTTAAGAAGTGGATCTGAAAGGGTATTTCATATATATCCCCACGAGTCGGACCCCACACTGTAGACATTGTAACCCACATTCAGGACGTTCATAAACGCCTTTTAGGAAATAACGACGGCGCAGCACGGAAAATTTGACTCCAGGAGGGTAATTCGAAAGTGCTGGGACAAACCTTGGTGAGTAAGGTGTTTTAGCAGCATCTAGAGACTTTGTTCTCTTGGTCCCGACTTCCCCACAGCAGGAACCGACATTGGTTTTACCGTGGGAATCACTTCGGGAGGATGGAACACCGGTGACGAGAGCGTTGGTGGTGGGAGTCGCAGTAGAAGCCGATTGACCGCTCCAGGAGGCCACTGCGGCTGCCATCACCGCGGCATAGAGCGAAGACGACGATGAAGATGGTGTTGTTGTCGCTGTGGACGTGGAAGAGGGATCGGGCTTCAAGGAGGTGGCTTGCCCGCTTCGCCAGAAATCGCCGCCACCGACACCTCTGCCCATTGGATGTGAGGCTGTATGTGTGGGTGGAGGGAAGGTACCCAATTCACCTTTGAGAAAAGCAATTAACCAGCATTTAAAAGAGACACTTGGTAGCTATAGCACAATTCGATTTTGGACTCATAGCTCTACCAGATTCACTCAATCACATTTCCTGCTAGTCTTACGTTTTAAACCCCGGTCTCTCCGTAGAAAGACATGGTACTGTTGTATTGGAGTTTCTACACTTCGCTCGTCATCCCTGATTTGACATTGAAGGTAATATCAGTGATACACCAGACCGTTTCAAAGCATCAGACTAATACGAAATTACGGCCAGAGATCAGACATGCATTACTACAAATCTTTGTCTGCGATTAGGAGCCAACTTATTGCGTAACTGTACATTCCTGCAAGCAATGAATGTGCAAAAAGTAAGTTTTTCTACAACCAATGGTTCAGAAATTGATGAGACACAGCACACTGGATACCATTGTATTTGCATTTGTAATTGTTAAAACATGAGTGGTACAAATAATTGAATCGTTCAAGAAAATGTGAAACAATTGCACTATGCACTACAGCTTAGTTCTGCCGTATCGGCACCCTTGCATTTCATTCGCATGGCTCCAGTTTGTGTTGGAGGTACTTCTAATAGAATGTTAATTAGGTCATAGTTAGGATGACAGGATCCTCACCTGCCCACGGCTTAGCAGTACTTTACTAAATAAGCATTTCTATCTATGCAAACAATTGATAAGTAGATAGCAAATACTGTCATCCGTTGACAGGTTAGAAACCTTCGAACGCAAACGCCACGATCACCGCGGTGCTCTCATCCATAACCGTCGGTATAAGACTTATACAGGCAACCACAATGCTCCAGAAAACACGATTAAGTGGCACTAGCCATTTTATTACGGATTCCCATTCACCAAGTTTGTTTTGGAAGTATCCTAGATAAGGCTCTTTTTCAAGCCCTAAGACTGGCGACTAATTCCCCATAAAAATCCACCTTTTTAGTGCATATAAGTCTTTACGGACGGTTCAGCGCCCTACTACTAGGCATACAAATCTATCCGGACACTAATTAAAGCGGGAAAAGTGATGCGTAGCGATAAAATTAATGCTGCTTTCTGTTTGTTTTTGTTGCATAACCAAGTTGATCATGGAAGAAGCACAACACTCCTGTGGCAGGGCCTCTAAATATTGTTTGTAATGTTGGATTTGGGGGTTAGGGAAATTCTCCATAAGATATACCATAAGTAAATCGGGTATGCGGATAGTTATTTGTTTAACCCTTTGTTTCGTTGACGCGGACTCTTTAAGGCTCCACCTTTGCATACTTGCTGAGCAGCATGGGCTCTGGGCCATGACAGTAGCCCCTAGCCCTTCTGCATGTCGACAATACGTATTCTGCCTAGTAGTAGGTCCTTTGTTGTCTTCAGGAAAGTCTTGGAGCGCTACTAATTGCCACTCACGATTTGGCGGTAAACTATTGCACACATTTGCGGACATTGTTAAAAATAAAGTAATAAGTTTTCGGAAATTCTCAAACCGCACCCCAATAAATAACACTGTTTATTAAATCAAGAATCAAACAAATTTTAGTATTTGTGATTCTAGTGCACACACGAAAACACCATGACAACTCGTTTCCGTTTGATCAGAACTTTTAAATTCCGTTAGTACTATCTGGGTTTATATTAAAGGTATCCGAGATAAAATGACGGGTCACAATCAAAGCAAATGTAAACTTGGTTGAAGACTTTTCTAGCTATGAGGGAGAGCAAACTCGTTAAAGCAACATGTCAAAGCCTATTTTAGAAATTCAAAAGACGGGCAACTGAATGGAAACATTAGGCTATTGATAGATAGAGGAAAGTTGCCAAATCAGATTTGTTCGATATTCCGCTTCGGGATAGAACCTATGCAGCGGACAGAAGCGTTGGGCCCACAGAAGATGGTATGTGTAATGGTCGGGTGGATGGATGGGTGTACCAGGAATGAAGTGCACTTCAAGCCGGAGCCCAAACTAATGCTAGTGTTAGCACTACCAGGCGTTCTTTCACGAGTCCACATTCACATGGAAATTGTTGGAGGGTGTTTGTGCGTGCTGCGCGTAGTATTTTTACATTCTGGTTTACATAATTAATCATTTTCCTCGTTGGCACGCACGCATACGCACGCACGCACCAACTCTAGGTCTGTCTTCGGGATGCAGTCCGTCGTCTATGTGCGTGCGCACGCCAGCGCACGCACGCACGCGAAGTGCGCACGTACCACCTCGAGAGAAGCGGACGAGCGAGTTAAATCGAAAAGAGGAAAATGGAGGAAAAAAACATGTGAAGGAGTGAAGAGGCTCAAAGGCCTAGCAAAATTATCATTTTTATCCCATGTGCTCAGGTAAAAAGTGAAAACATACATTTGGCTGGGAAAGAGCCTATAATTGGGAATTATTGTGGAATTTTTTGCAATTAGCCAGTTTTAGCAATCCTGTGTGCTATCTCTAACTTTTAGCCAGTCCATACCCCCTGTTGTAGCGTAAACAAGTTCGGTCACGGCAAGTAGAAATGCTCTCCTTGGCATTTAATTAACCAAGCGAGAAAAATGCAAAGCACTGGCTCAAACCTCTAACGCAATTGGAAGGTAATTTTGCCGCTAAAAATAAGAGCTAAATGCAGTCGTCTAAGTTATTTCCGAATCTGGTGGCCCCAAAGACGTGGCATTAATGCTATGTCCAAATTCTATTCTCCAACTTTTAAAGTGACTCCACTTGGCTATTCAAATAAATTCACGGGTAATTCAGTATCTGAAAGTCTGACAGCTTATTCGAGACAGTAAATTGGGGCGTTTTGGTGAGTGTTTCCGCTTTGACACATAAAGTAAGCGAGCGAACATTACTAGCCATCCATCATACCCGTCAGTCACAACAGTGCCCTTGCATAATCGTGAGCAAAGTCATTTCCTTTTGAAGGATGACATTAGGATTATGCTTTTTATTTCCCTAAGACGTTGGTTAAACGAAGGGTTGGTATCCTCAAAAATAAAATAGACAGAGAGGGTTTTGAAATTTTTGTCCCACTTAGCGAGAATGCTAAAAACCTTGTACCACAGCCTCTTTGTGGTGGCTAAGTTAATCCAGAAGACCACACTATGGTTGGAAAACATAACATACAATAACAGAGAGGTATAATAGAGTAAAATCCCCGTGAATTTTGAAGAGACAATACCATGTGAAGGGTTTTAAGTGAAATCATGTACTTGTCAAAAACAGGTGAGGCTTTGTGTTGGCTTGGGCTTATATTCGGTTAAAAATTGCTGAATTAAGCAGAATCTGTATAACAAAACTGGATTCGTAAAAACGGGTCGCAGTTGGATACTGTTAGTCTTAGAGACAAAAACTACACCAGTTTCGGAAGTCATTCGGTTGATTGCAGGAACAAAAATACCTACCGAGGTTAGTCTTAAAGTAATCAACATCTGGATATACCTTAGACTCTCTCCAGGCAACTCCATCACCATCGACTGTTTTGATATAATGCTGTTGCAATACAATATTTGGACCATAAACCTGCGAAAGTCACAAGATTCCAGACAGACACGGGAGCTCTGCAAAACCTCGGAGAAATGTTGCTTCATTTCTAAGTCAATAGGGGTACGTGATTAAAAATGCACGTTCAAAGTGATCTTAAAGCGGTAGAAACTTGCGAAAGACATACTTTTTAGCCCGCATCTATTCTGAATCGATTCCAAACAGCCATCAGAAAGCCGATCCACCGGTGATTTTCGAAGGGCCTCATGCGTCCCTGAGGTGTTGGTGGCGGTAGCGGCGGAGAGGCCATGCAGCGGATTGTGATAGAATGGCATGAAGGGATTGAAAGGATTGGAGAGGAAAGGAGGTATTCGATTTCCCGGCTACAGCGGAATCAAAAGACGAAGATATGTAGTTAGAAATTGAGAATTTAAATAATAGGCATCGCATTCTCCGATCCACTTAGTCCACTCTCCTTCAAAAGAGAGCCGAACGAGATGTAACAAAGTAAGGTGAGCAGGCTCACTCACTCTCTCGTTGCCTAACTTTTTCGTCCCTCTTTCTTGTTCGAGCTGCCTTGTACCGATGAATCTCAGTAGTGGCAATGACTAATTGATACAAATGCACACATGCACAGTGTTCCAGTTTGAAGAACATTCTTCATCAGCAACGTCAAATAAACGCACACGTACACAAGCCGAGGCGAAAGAAGGACTTTCACTGTGCTTTTCACTCATTACAACAAAAAACACGCTCGAATTAATGAAACCTAAGGGAGAAATGGATAAACGACTTCTAACACATTCCCAGGAAATCCGCCACTACAGCATACAAAAGAGGAGGTCTGCCGAAAGCTATGTTGCTCATAGCCTAAAAAAATGTTATTAGCCTCTCATCCATTTGATTGCTTTAAACTCAGCGAAGCCGTTTGCGATAAGATCAGGGTGCAACCAATTATCGTAAACTGATAAATAAGACACCGTAGATCTAATTAACATTAATACCAAAAAAATCATTGTAGTTTAGATACCTGGATGAAGCTCCACAGACACGAACTAAATTTACACGTGTGTGCATGCAAGGGTGTATCCAATGTAGAGATAGGTCGGCCTTAAGATTTGTACATTGTAAGCAATCCATTGCTGGACGCTACACTAGATATGAACACAAGTGCATGTGTAGACACATGAGAAAAAAGGACCACAGACGGCCCTGTCGAAATGAACCCTCACTTGCACCTTTGCCGTCATCATTGTCATCATCACATTCGTCGTTCTCGTCGTCATCATCAGGCTAGCATCCAATATGGCAGTAGCACTCAGCGCGAGAGTGATGGTCCAATGAGTCACAAAAACAACTATCATCCACTTTTTGACATCCATTACTGTTAGTACAGCAGATTGAAAAGAAGGGTCGCAGTAGAGTGAAGGCGGGGCAGTGAATACGTTGTAACACGTTGTTCCCCTTCAGTCCCCGCTTCACTCTCAAAATTATCGTAAAATGCATTTGATTGAGGTGTGAGATAAAAAATTTGTATATCGGATTTGTGGGTTAGAGCATTACTATCAGCAGGAGCATCGACATTTAAAGCTCGGATAAGTACGAGGAAGCGAAGACAAGTTGTAACGTTATCGCTTTACTTCACGACAGATGCCTCAAACTACTCGTTCAACCAAACTTCCCTCATAGCACTGCTGCTGCTACTGTTGCAACAAAAACCACCACCACCATCGCCCAACGCGGACGGGTGTCAATCAAACATCGAAGCTAAGGTTAATCAAATAGAGATGTCTCTGCGCCTAGGGGTAGCTAACTAGTGTTTGATTAACATCTGACACACGAAGCAAGGGCACGAGTTATCGCAGCATTTTAGGGATGCTGAAAGCCAATCTTGATGCTGTATGTAGACAGGGCAATTCGTATACTGGCGTAATCAGGCGTTGCACCAATGCGGATTACGAAGTGGTGTTAGATGAACTTCACTTCTGTGCAGTGATGAAAAATGATTGCGTAGCGTGAAATTTTCACACAGACACTTCAAACAAAAGTAGATAAAACGCGATTGATTTGGAGTTTGGCTCCAACTGGAGTGCGGTTTGAAAAGACTTTCAGAAGTGAAAAAGCTACCCATTTGATTGTGCACTAACTGGAATGATTGTGTGACACAAGCAGGATAATAATAATTGCTTTTGCGACAAGGATTTCATTAACACAAGTAATGGATGAAACCTTTTACATAAATTGTTATGTGGTGCGCAACTTTCCCTAGAGTCTGGAACGTCTTTGACCTTGGGATTGGTCGATAAGTGGCAAAGATGCACAAGTTACGACTAGCAATGTGGTCGAAGTGGTGAGATAAGGGGAGTACGACACCGTCCTGCACCAAAGGTTCCATTCCTGATACTTGTTGAAAATTCGCTTGTAACACAATTTGAGACAAGTTCTAGGTAGACTTCATGAAAGCGCGTTATCGTCAAGTAGATTATTTTAAATGAAACAGCATCCAAAGCATGGGCAATGCAACCTTTAGTCAAACATTATTTCACTTCTTTCGACGCCAACATTGAACCCTTCTAACTTACTGTAAACACTGATTCTCCGTGGTCGAAATCAGAAATAATCACTTAGTCTTCGCTGTGGGAAAGAGTCTTGGAAACCGGACATTGAGATGAGCACACAAGAAATTCAGTAAATCAGTAAAATTACTTATTTTGTGTTCATAGGCCTTTGAGTTAATTCGGTAGTCAGCATTCAGACAGCTTTCAATGCCTAGATCCAAGCATTACCCAGAGGAGACTCCACATGTATTTCAGGAAGACTCTGCTCCTTCCCTTACAGTAAAAAATCTGCAAAATCAATTCCCCCTGAAGCCTGGTCCGCTGGTTCACTTAAAAAGCCTCTGGACTTTTTTGCTTGGACTGGTGTTAAGAGTATTAGCGACAGGCTTGCTCCTTGATAGCTACCATTAAAATCTTTATGATTGGTGTGAAAATGGATGCAGCCAGCTTGGGAGAGGGTTTGGTTAATATTCTTTTGCTTGATCCTACAGCAACACATTATTTCTATTCCAATGTATGCAATATACGACTGGAAGTGTGTTTCTGTACTTGTGAATGGAGCAAAAAAATCTACATTATTCCTATGATAGATTTGAAGCATAGAAATGTGCACAGTGGCGATAGCGACATCCGTCGGGGGCAAGGTGAGGGGAGGCAAGGGAGGTGGGAAGAAAAATAGAAAGAAAGAGAGCGAGGAAGAGGAAAAAGCGTCCATCAGATAAATATGACCACCAGAGGAATGGAAAAGTCTGCAAGGATTATATTTCCCCTTCGTAGCACAGTTGCAGCAACATCATGGAAAAATTTGGCCCGATGTAACCTCTCCTGCAGTAGCAAAGTCATGTTGCATCCTTTACCTCCTCCTACTCAACCTTTGATACCGGAAATTGAATTTACGGTGAAAAAAATTGTGCTCCCAGATTATTGACGCGTAGAGAGGTTTTTTCCTAGTAACCTGAGAATTTGAAAGCACACGAAATGCATCGCTTTTGAATGCTGCAATAGAGCATCAGTAAGGCACAAGTAAAGATGATAGGAGAGAGACAGAGACAGACTCAAGAAGTACTGAGAGGGAAAACTAATTAGTGAATGCCAATCGTCCTCAGTGTATCCAGCCTATTCCCTCTCTCCGCGCAAAAGCAACGCTTTAATATTGAATGAGGGCTTGAAGAACCCACTCAAGAAATAGGTTACGAAAATGCCTTCATGAGGAGAACGCTAATGGGCTCGAAATGTATGCGCTATGTCGAGTACCCAAAGGAGCCAAAGAAGACACCACTCAAGTGGCGTTAAGTGGAGTTCTCAACCCAGGTTTTGCAGTCTGTTTCCTTCGACCTAGCAGCCAAAAACTCAAACCCATTCCTGTTAAGAGGAGGAAGAAGAAAATCGCTCGCGTTCGTCGGGTTATGGATGAATGAGTGCAATATGAGACTAAGAAAATCTTCAAGTTAGTTGAGTGAATGAATGAGTAGGATGCAGAGGAGAAAGAAAAGTACTAAGGTGGAAAAGCTCTTGCGAAATATGGACAACAACCACTGTGCTTTAGTCCATCATTAACTTTGTATGCATAAGCAAGATGAGAAAGGAAAACTGATTTGTCCAAAAAAGCAGGTACTTGATCTTTCTGTAATCACACAAGAAAAAAAGAAGAACAGAATTTCCGTTTCTTTAGTCACGTCAATAAACTAGTGAGAGTGGATCTAAAACCGCGAAGCGCAGGAACACGAGCAGTAAAAACATATTTTACAAATGGTGGGGAAAGTGAACCTCCTTTGGGAGATTTACTATTCACACAAGTAGTTTTGAGCATGTGAACTGCTCCTCAGCTTTGCTTTTTAAACATTATGGAATGATAAAGAGGGTTTTTGAAATCGAATGGATCGGTTTGCATTAAATTAAGAGGCTAAAGCCTGTGCGATTGCAGGAAAATCGAAATTTCGTTTTCAAAAGATACCAGCCACAGCTTTCTGACACCACACACACACGCACACATTTAGCTGGCTGGCATTTTGCTTCAATCATGATCATCCATCTATCTCTTTTCCTCCCTCTCTCCGCTTCACTCTGTAGAGCTGCCAAGTATGACCTTTTGGCTTCACGTCTCTGAACCAGAAGGATACATTGGATTAAACAAACACGGGCAAAGGCACATGCATATACGCACACCAAAAAAGTTGAAGTCGAGGGAGGATGGCCTTGACCATGGAAGAATTTGTGGATGAAGGAAGAGAGCCATCCATTGCCGCTTGAACTAGCACACACACACACACACAGAAATGCATACACAGAAAAAGAACCTTTTAACGATCAAACTTCATGTACATGGGAAAAGAGAGAAGTAGGATTACTCGTGCATACCAAAGTGTCCCTAGGTAGAGGATTCGTAAACATCTTTAATCAAATTGCTTTTAAAAATCTCCTTATTGCATTACCTTAAGCAACCGCATTCACTTATTCACTCTTTTAGAGCAACACTGGACATGCGCTTGCCTTATTTAGGCCCATTTAACTCCTGGTCTAAGCCTTTATTGAGGCTAAGTTGCTTATTTTCGTGGCTGTTGAAATCGAACCAACAATCCCAAATGTGCCGTTTTGCGATTCTGATGGGAGATAATTCACCAGGCTTACAGAAAAGTTATTATATATGCTTGACAATACCAAAATATATCTTACCCAGAGTTTAGAACACGTCCCCATTACATCTCAACACCTCAGTATTGACTACCTTTTACCATTAACACAATGGGGTACGGATGGTACCTTCAAAATGGGGTAAATGAGGATAAAAAGACACAAGACTATTGAGGGTACAAAGACCAAAGTAAAGACAATTAGTAGAGGATAATAAAAAAATGTAAGTTTAATTGGAATTATTGCTACGATTCTTTAATCAGATGAGGCTTGTTGGAATGTCATGCCAGTGATAGGAGCCCACACACACAAGCACATACACAGAGACATGCCACTTTTACACTTTTCATGATTGCTACGCTTGAGTTTCAAGCAGAATAGATGAATGCAGTCTCTTGAAGTAGTTACAATACAGTTGCTGCGGAAAGGTCTTAAAGGGTACAGAAAAGCAAATCATAAACGGGTAGGAAATATCTCAAGAAAATTACCTAAAAACAAACATTTAAATCCAATTCACAAGATGGGAGCCTCCCTTAACACAAACGATGGTTATGTGTAAACGGCATTGGTGACCATACACGGATAGACTACTAAATCAGCCTCTCAACTTAAATTCATGTTTTGGTGTGAAGTCCGGGCCGAGTTGACACGATGCCACAGATGCCAGGTAAATAAATCTTACTGTGAAAGAGAAGCAAACAAGCGACGCAAGAGGTTTGAGCGCGTGCATCCGAGTACATAAAATGTCAAATAATAATAATGGCAAATTCGTGGTAGGAATTCACACCACTGCTGGGTCACTGCAAAAGCCTCGACCAAGCACACATACTCGACTAGCAAAAAACTTCACTCTTACCCCTACCATCCATCCACCAGAAGTCGTCGTGTGGCGAGAAAGCCCCCAGCGGGAATAGGAGGAGGGGAGGAGGGGAAAAGGAGGAAGGGGAGGGAAACAACTCGAGATTGGCACGAGATGTAGGCACGCTGTTTTCGTGTTTCCTTAGCCCTCCTCCGATGAGCATGAATAATTAAGAGGTCAGTGTGGGATGCGACAAGCCCCTTGGTGCGGTATGATGGTGAATGCCTGCGCGCTACTGGAAGAAGCGCACAAGTGTGAAAAGATGCGGAAGAAAATGTGGGGGAGGAGAGTGACGATACAGCAATCAGAATTTACTACCGCGTCCTCGTTTTGCATGAACATCTTTGGCGTTTCTACCTTATAAGCTCATAACGCTTGGCAATGCAACCCATTAAAAACGTCCAAAAGGTGATTGCATTCGTGTCTTGAAGCTGCATTGGGGTATGTGGGTGATTCGATTATAGCTTACATACAATTCTTTGTGAAGAGCCGCTTAACTGATGAGCGATTGAAAAGCCAAATTGTTCCCTATACCATAAATGGATTCATGACATTCATACCAACTTATTTTTTTTCTACTTTTTTTCTACGTTTATCCTGCATTACATGCAACAGAACTGCAAGATAACATAAATGAGCCATTAAAAGTTAAATTAGTTAAAAATCACCTGGACGGAAGGGAGGGAATAATCCCATCACAAAAGACGTTGTTGTTTTTATTGCTGCTAGCAGTCTGAGGCAATAAATTCACTCCACGCCAATTTGTCCCAGGGATATCACTATTAATATTTATTCCTTCAAACAAGTCTCAAATAATAGAAAACAGGTGCCTCCATAAATCCTCATTACATGCGCCCTTTCCTCCTTACTCCCTCTCCTCTCCTCTCCCCCAACAAAATGAGTTATTTCGACAGGTATCTGGTTGGCTTGTGCAAGTCCCTCCTCTTGGCAAAAACGACACCGGACTCGGATTTATGGGGGCAGTTGAGACATGAATGACCGAATCGCATGAAGAGGGCTAGGAAATATTAGCAAACTTGAAAAATGGGCTGAGAAAATTAAAAAGGTTAGCATAAAGAAAAAAAATCAGATTTGAAAAGGCATAGCACAGTCATAGTCAAGTCTATCATTCATCCTAGAAGAAAATTCCAAACCCTGGCACTAGCATTGTTGGTAGCAGGAGTGAAAAAGAAGGTGCCAGAGGCTTTAATTAATGGCAAGGGTGTGTAACCGTGAGATATTGTAGTGAGTACGTAAGGGAGAGCGAAGCAATTGAAAAATGAAAGGTAGATTTGCTGCTCTACGTATCCAGCAATTTTATTGAAATCGAAAAACCGAGTTTTTGTTATTATCTAACTGTTATCCTTGGTTGCTTGAGTAATAGGGGATGGTAAGGTGTCAAACGTCAGGTGTACCAATGACGCTTCCCAAAGATGGTCCTCGGGAGAACCTACCTACCAGGTTTGATGAGTTGACATCTCTTGGGTGACAACTGAAGGAATCTCACAAGAATCTCTGCTAATTAATCGCGTTGATGCTAGTTGGAATATTTAAGGGAAAACCTCTCACGCACAACCTCTCCCTACATAATGATCGCATTAATCATTGTGGTAATGGTGCTTTTCCGGGGAATTGGAAATCTTTTACGCTTCAATGAAGGCATGCATGTGCATAACGTAAAAAATACGTTTCCATTACAGGACTTATTATGGTCACACACAAAACAATAATAGACGTACGTCTACCAGAGTTGTACTTCTTAATCCATCACGAATTACACAAATTTTAACAATTTCAATTGGCTCGACTTACAATTCTAATATAATACACTTTTACTAATGGGTTTAGGGAGATAAAAGCATCGTTTCCCAAAACCTTTGGAATGAAAGGCTTCAGCAGGTCACTACATAGGAGTAAGAAATCGCCAACACGCCTTTAGCATTGAGCTAAATCACATACATGAACACAAGTGGAAAAAAACAGCAAGCAAAGGTGGGTACGACATACACTTGGGGCAACTGTGTGGGGATGAAATAGAAGGCCCACGCTTTTTCCGTTCCCTCTAGGAAGAGGTGGTGTCTTGATGCGAAAACGTAATAAAAATGCTCATCCAATTCTCGAGGAACAGAGACTTAAGGAACTCACAAATGTTGCCTGACCACGGTCATCAATTGCGGGGTCACGTTGGATCTCACTCCCTCCTCCCCCACCGACACTCATATATCCATCGCCACTGCCGCCGGTAGCTGTCGGTGAACCGAAAGCCGATGTATTGGTGGCCAAGGGGCCCTGTGGCTCCCATGGAGGGGTATAGAATGTGGAGTTCGAGTGTGACGGAGCACCAGCAGTGGGCGAAGTGCTGGAAGAGGCGAGACCGCTAAGGAAACCGCCGCCAGGTGCGCTTGGACTGTAGTCCCCATGGCAACCAGTAGCGGCAGCAGCCCCGCCGGTGGCAGAGAAGCCACAAACAGGAGAAGCGGAGGAGCGCATTGCGGCCATAACAGCAGCGAGAGCGGCTGGGTAGCCAGGCAGGAAATAGCTTGCAAACCGAGGATCCGTTGGCCATGGCATCTTGAGGACTGTGAAGTAAGGCAATAGGAGTAATATCAGCTTCGATTCTGCATCGAGATGGTGAACAAAAAGAATCCCACAAGTCAGCAAAGCTCCTTATCGGATGTTTTTGCGCAAATGCATGTCTGTATCGCAGTCCAAGGGCGTAGGACTTTCCCTTTCTTACCATTTGATTAGTCAAGGCTATAGATAGGGGAGAGTGACTGGCTGGGTTAAGGTCTGCTTCCGATTTTAAAAATCGCTTCCGTACGGATAGACTTCCATTAAAGTCGTGCATTCGGACAGACTTAATTAACCTTCCTTCGCCTATCCCTCCTCTTATCGACCACTTCTATTAAGCACTATCAGCATCAAATTAGTTTTTATGGTGGGATGCATTGTCATCCCGTAAGCCAGCAAGAAAAATTGGCGGGGATTATTTTAACGCTGTATTTAAACCATCCTACGCACAAGGCTGCTAAATGCCATGGCATAAACTCTCTTTCCATCACTTATATGAGATAGAGGATAAAGTGGAGGTATATTTGATCATTGAAGGCAAAAGATAATGATGATTCGCATCAAAAGTCCATTAAGTGGAATATTGTCAAGGCAAAATTTTATCTCCCCTGTCCAATACCGTGCGCGTGTGTCTACTTTGCGATAGGGTGACTTCTTCGTCGTAAACACGTGCAAGATGCCATCCATTCTAGTTGTTGCAATTGAAGATGTTGTACCCTTTGAAAGCAAACATTTGAGCATCTAGGATTGCCTCTTGGCTTCGCAAGACGCCTAAAATCATCTTGCGCAGGTGGTTATCAGATAAAAAATCACTATTGTGCTAGTGATCAGACCACATAAGACGTTTCTACTGAGCCTTTAGTTCAGGTAGGAATTTTTAACTATCAACTGCATAAATGAATGCGCGGGTCAAAAGACAGAGATGGGTGAATTGACTCTCGCATGAAGTATAGCCATGTGGTAAAAGTAGGCAGTGTACGCTGACCGTCGAGAGGGTTATATACGGCTCGGACCTTAGGTTTTGATCTATGGCTGAAATTTTAAGCACTTATTCATCACTAAAAGTGTAGTTAGCATGTTTTGCAAACCTCCCCAACAAGGGTTTGACTCCTCTTTTACTACACTCGATGTGAAAAGGTGGTCTATTATGAAAAACCATGCGCACGAACATGCATTTGCCTTCCCAGAGTAGCAGTAGCTATACCTCACCGGATGTGTGTATATATACATGACTTGATGATTTACGGTTCACCACAGCAGTAAACAACATGACAAACTTTAATAAATACATAATGTCCTTTAAAAAAGGACTACGATAGCATGTGACTTACTGGAGGATCCATTTCGTCCAAATAAATCGAATAGCCGTGGAACCTGAAGTATAAATATAGGGCGTTTAGCGTAAGACTAAACCTCCAAACGATAAACAAGGCATTGCACTTCCGTATGTCAAATGGGCGATTCATATAAGGATGTAAAGCTTAAGAAGGATTTAAGTGCTGAGACCTAACTTCAGAATTAAAACCATTCCATCCGGTAAGGCCAATTGTAAAAGATGGAGTGACTGGCAGAAAACTAAGCACATTTAGGTTGAATTTGACAAATTTCACAGACTTGAGCCAATTGCCAAACTAAGAATCGGAATATCTTAAGAGATTTCATGAGGAGTTTAGTTGAATTTGCATTTATAATTGTTATTCAAACAGAATTGAAGTGGACGTTTGAGGAAGCCTGTGTGGTAGAAGCTGACGCCGCAAAATTGTAGCAACCTGTTACTAAAAAATCTATTTTGGCACAACAACTCTTCCTCAGCTACTACCATTACCACTATAGAAGGAAAATAGGAGGGAGGGAAGGAACGGAGAAAAGAAGGAAGATCATGTCTGACTCAATGCTGAAATTTGATTGGCTGAAGCAAGTATTTTTCAGCTGTGATCAAAGTGGAACACACGAAACTTTCAAGGCAAAAGCGGAAAAAATAAATTCGAGAATTTTTATTTCTACAAAGCCATTACATTGGAAGGCGCGATATATGACAAGATGAGTTTGGTTAAAAGCTTTACTAGTCCTCCTCGGAGCAGTTCCAATGTGCTCTAGGGTAAAGTGGTGTTATCTGACGTGGACACGAAGTACCTTTCATCAATTGAGAACTGGCATCATTCTTAATTCAAGAAATGGGTAGACATCACTCTAACTAGTCTAGAAGCCCTTGCTTATGTGCATTCGAGCCTGAATGGCGACAGTCTCTATAGCAACTGTCTGCGACACCATGGAAGAGGAAAGGGGCAAAAGTTGGGAGATTTTAATGCGTCTGGTGATTTTTATCAGCAAAGTAAAACGAGGCTCATCTAAGCGCATTGCATATCATCACACTTTCTCCTCTTCAAAATGCTGAAGAAGCACGGTAAAAAACGGACAATGAATAAGCGAGTTGGTGGCAATGCTCATGACTCACACGAAGTCAGTCTGTGGTCTTCTAAAGCCTGTGCATCCATGGAATTGCCCAAAGATACCCATGAAATGGGGACTCTGGGAGATTTGCAAACGCTCTTTTTTGCACTTCCAAACAAACTTTTTAAAATTAAGTGACTTAATCCACTTATGCAGCGCGACGACAGCGCCATCTCGGTGCACGCATCCGCTGTCGATGAGTAGCAGCAACAGTAACAGCAGCAAAGAAGGCGTTAATCACGGACTTCCTGTCCGGGTGTTATTTTAGTTTTTAAATCTTTCGCCCTCCCAGGCCTTCACTACCGTTTTAGCATCTACTACCTTGCCTGATTAACCCCGAAAAATGCGCTGTTTCCTTTCTTTTGGCTCACAGAGCTGAAAACTAATCAGCTAAGTAATTGGCGATAACATTGAAAAAACGAAAAGCTTGTATAGCGTTAATCAAAATTAAACAGAGAAAAAGGAGAGGGATACGTAGAAGTGTACTGAGTCAGTTTTAATGCGCGTAGCCGCTTCCACGGCCTAGGCCATTATCACAGCGACGAGTCTTTCCTTCGATAATACGGGCGTATCATACCCGACTCATCAATTGCAGACATACAGACTGAGGAATAAAAAAAAAAGTGAATCTTTTGGTTCTAGCAGACTTGGATGTGTGTATGCTGTTAGACTGGTGAGCCAATTTCACCGGAAAAGAGCGGAGGAGGAAAGGATTAGATGTGGAAGAGAAAACGAGAGGGGAGAGAGGAGTATGATTAATAGCTGCTCCCCACAAGCACATTTGTTGCTTCGTTGACAAGTAGGGGCTTCGGAGGGGGCGGGGGCGAAGCAAATGCGACACCAGAGCACGCGTGCGCGAGTAAGGAGCACTGGGAGAGAGGCACGAGCACACAAACAGGAAAGCCGAAAAGAGCAGACGAGCTGGCCAGCCAACTACTCCAAAGCATATGAACTGACAACAACCACACACACGTACACATACATTTTGCCTGGTAAAAAATAGCACTGCTCTTCACGGCATTCTGACTTTATTATTTAAGTTTGAATTTTATTCCGACTGCCTGGGGACACCGGCGATTCACGGGTTAACATGGAGTTCACACTGTATTGGAATAACATTTAATAGGCTTTCTTTTCCAGTCTCCACCGCTCGAGTCTGTAGGATAGTGGTGCGGAACTGAATCACCGGCCCTTCTAGGCGTTTATAATAGGACCGCATTCAGACTTATGTACCTTAAAGTAGCTTCAGGGACTTGTGCACCTGAACCTCACAATTACTTAATTGTTTGGAGCAGATAGTGGGAAGAGAACCAGAATATTTTTCGTGTTTAAAAACATGCTTAATCACAGAGTAAAATTATTGTGATAAGAGGAGTTAATTAAATTGCAATTCCAATTTTAAACATTCTCCTTTCATCTACTGAGAACACAATAGGGGCTTTTGGGCTTAATTACTAACTGTGAAGAAGAACTGAGAAGAAAAGGAACAATGTTATATTTCAAGGTAGGTGAAAAAGGCAATCAACTTTATGCTGCTTGTAGGTGAAAGGAGAAGGAATTAACTAGATCACTTTGATCGGCGTTGTCATCATTTTCACCTCTTGCGTCTCCTTTATAGTCACTTCCAAATCGTTGGCTCCTTTTAATCGTGAAGGAAAAAATGCACGTAGGATAAACAAGAAAAGACACCCCCTCCACTGGAGGCAGATGACTGGCTTTCGTACTTAATGCTCATCTGGTATTAACAAATGGAATGCAAAGAAAGCTAAACACTGAACTTCTGTCAGCATTTGCCAGTCAATCTCCAAAATGGTTTTCAAATCTACTTTCAATGAACCTCTGGGAATAACGGTATGCTTTCTGTTATGACATCCATCAATTTAAAGTCGTGAGAAAGAGACCTGTAGTCGTAGAGGTTTCGGTATCATGCCAGTATTGTGATTATCCTCCTCTATTGCTGATCAGATATTTACCGAAGCTGATACATACCTCCTGTCAACACTACATGGAGGAGGTTTCGCCAAAACTGAAGTATATTCGAAAGAGAAAGTGACATAGAAAAGTATCTTAAGAATCATTTGGTGCCAACGTCTTGATGACCTACAGTGAAGTTAAAATTCGCTGATGTAATCATCCGGTGGACGCAAAAAAAACTTTTGGTGAAGCGTAGAACTCTTCCGCCACCGAAAGCCCTCTAATACCTGAACCATAATTCAACCTGGCTTTGAAATGTGCCGATTTCCGTATGATTTCTCAAGGAATGACGCAAAGCACTTCAAAACGACTCGCCAGAATTAAAAGTGCAAATGCCTTGGCAGCAAAAGTTTACCGTTTAGTGTTTGACCATTGGGTAAAATGATGACATCTTGTCACAGAAAGCCTAGCTAGACAGTCCCATTTTGGTGGCAGTAATTCCATTAATCTTGTAAAATTTGAAGCTCTTCATATAAAAGCCAAAAATTTGAGTGAACAGGTCGATATAAGGACGTGTGTTGGATCTGGATGAAATTGAAACGAATCAACCCTACATTATATTTGGTAATGTCAAAACCGAGGCATCGATTTGATTGTAGAAATTTCTTTAAGACTACAAAAGTCTAGTGGATTTAAAAGACACCTTTTAGTTGTGTAGGGAAGAACGAGTGTAGTGGAGGAGGTGGTGGTGCTACAAGGAAGAGATCAAAGTGGTTTAAAAGAGAAGGCGTATACTTACTCAAACACGCAAGTACCTTTGACCTACACTTCACTTCCTCCTGCCTTCTACTTTCTCTGTCAGCGTAGCTACTTCTGCGGTGTTATTAATCGTACCAAAAAGTAAAGTATGGGAAGTGAGAAATTCGCCTTCGGGAGAAGGAAAATGAGGAAAAGAGCGGGCCAGATGTGGCGGAAGAGGTGAGAGCGGAACAAAAGAGCCATGCTCGTTCCGTTTAGATCACGATCTCTGGTTTGCGCACGCACACGCACAAGTAGAGAATTGGAGAAATGGGAAGAGGAAGTTGCCCCTCTAAATAGGCCGTCGTCGCGTTGGCGCTTCCAATCTTCCATCAATCATCCACCTCTCTCAAATGACAAACACTCTTAGCTCCCCCTTGGTTTAGCCAAAAAAGCGATGATAATATTGAAAAAATGAAATGTTACTTCCTGGTATGGGGTAAGGTTTTACACCCAAACCATCACTCCTACGATTAGCTATCGGTCAACGCAGTTAACTGATGCCCAAATTTGACGACTAGATAAGTGAGAATGGTGCCTCCACTCGTGTTTGAACAGGTCTTTATAGGAGTTGACAAATTTACAAAAAGAAATAATTCACTCCCACTGAGTCAATATTGTTCTAGCTAAATGACTTGTGTGAGTGTAGGTATATGAAAAATAAAGGCGTTATATGCATGAAATTTTTGGGGTAGCTAACCTGGATGAAAAATTTAGACGAGATAAAAGCGCTTTAATGAAGGGACGAGAGATAGGGATAATCAGGAAATAAGCATCAAAGTGATAGTAAAGGTATGGCTGTCAGGTGATGGGGAATGGAAAGAGATTATGTTTTCCACTACCAGATTTGTTTTTTTATTCACTAAGCTAAGTATTTCAGTAAGCCAACCCTTGCTACTTTGAATACGTGACACCGTCAGGCGCATACAATACAGAACGAGAATGGGAAATGAGGGAAGATTTAATGGGACATGCATTCACCTCCCCCCACAGGTTAGTCATCTGTCCACTTTCAATTCATACTTGTATTTTTTTTTTTGACAAAGATAAACACAATAAGACTGATTCTTGTAGAAAGGGGTCACGGTTGTGCTTTCAAAACGCGATATAGAACTGCGACTGACTAAAGGTAAACAATTTTGTCATTCGTGATTGCTCTTGTAAAATTTGCATACACAGGGCCCTCCTCCATACGATTGGTGAAGGGATAACGGGGCCTGCCTATGACATGGTCTTAGATCAACAAAAAAGAAGGAAGTTGACATGGAAAGGGTTAAGTTTTAAGTCGCCACAACGACTGGACTTTTGTTCGATAAATATGCGCAGAGGATGACGGGTAATGGAGCTCTTGTAAGTAAAGGGCTTGACGGACGGGTGACAGCTCACATCGACTTATCGGATCGGCTTTTGAAAAAAAGTCACTGAATTATTCACACATATGCCAGGAGGACCCGCCCGACTAGATTCCACACTCAACTGACGGTCGCGTGACTCAGAAAATCTCAGGCAGCGTCCATTGGCTAACCACGTCGTCTGTCAATCACAATAGCAGAGGTAAAGGCACCTACAGCAGGGTCGGGGGTGAGGAAGGGAGAGTTAGATGGACTACCCCAGAGCATTGGAGGCCTGAGTGACGGGTAAACAAGATACATACGCACGCACGGATGCATGCATGAATGGATGGATGAACTACACAAGCCCGTGCTTGCTTCAGAGCTGTACACGCACGCACGCGTTTTGCATGGTATCTCGTCTCTACCCTTCTCGTTCTAGTGATTGATGTCCGGGCCCTGCTGGGAGGTTAATTAACTACACTTACATACGCAAATACATACACACGTGCAAACCTATGTTGGTCGACGTCAGGAGTTGTTTGTGTGTGTTGAGCGACGACCAGAAGCTCGTATAAGTACGTGTGGTAAATTATCACCAGGATATGTAAGTTTTAATACGTGGGGGAGCAAAACCAGATGTGAACCCCACACACAGCTGTTTCCCTGTGACAATGAGCAAAAAAACCTCTCCTTTTAGCTCAATGACACAGGTGAGGTTCGAATCGTGACACCTTTAGAAATAATCTAAGGAGAAAATTGCTAATGAAAGTTGGGGAAAAAAAGGCAGTTTGGTGGAAGCTGTTCTAATGGATGCGAAAAGAGAAAACATACAGTCATGCTGAGCGACTACCTTAAATTCGCCTTTGTAAAAAAGCACAGAGCGCGGCCAACTTAAGTGTCGGGGCTCGGGTTTTACATTAGGTCCTGCGATATCTAATCTATCCCAGTTAGTTAGTGAAGTAGATTAGGAAACTCTATTTTTAATGTTAAACCACATACTCCACCATTCTAGAAGAAGTGCCTGGTTGAGACATTATTTGACTCCATCATGCTCGTACCACCTGTGCTAGTAATCCCGAGGTAGCGCTTTCAGGGAGTGCTGGAGTACAACAACTAAGCTCTCTCACCATCAAAACCGAATGTAAACAGCAAACGAGTGTTTTCTAGCCCTCGTCTCCTTTGGGAGATTATTCCAACTCGCGGGAACGAATATAAATGTTGTGGAGAGCGTTAATAAGTGATGAATGCAAAAGTGAGGGGAGGAAAAATGTTGTGCGCATGGATCACAAAGTTTTCGTCCACATTAGGCAAAAAAAACAAGGAAAACATGCAGCCTAGGGGAATTGGACACGTGTCACAGCGACCGAATAAGGGATATTAAGAGTTGGGTCTGTATTTGATGAGGGTAAAGAACAAGATAAATAGCAACGATGTAGCAGCAGCAGCAGCAGCACAGGCGCCAATAGGTAGCATATCTCACTGTAAAGTGATCACAAAATGAGAGAGAACCCATTAATCTCAATTAGCCCGCTTACCTGCCTGCCTGGCTGCCTAGTCGAGTGTACACGGAAATGGTGGATGGGAGAAACGCAGGCAGGCATGTATGTATGTATCCGTGTTTAAATGTATGCACACGAGTGCATGGAGGTGGGAAATAGGCCTCCAACTTTTTAACACTTTGTTTCTGATCTCAACGCTTTGGTGTTAATGGGATCTCAAAACGTACACAGTTAAGCTAGTAAAGAAACGCTACCTCAAATGGAAACGAGTCACCACGCTAGTGAGGATGATATGTCCGCTACACCCGACTAATAGATTTGACATTGTGAAGAAATGCAGCCACAGATTCACTTATTCTTTCGGGGGTTAAGGATGAAGATGGTAATGTGGAATTCGAGGACCCGCTGCAGAATCGATTTAGCGTCGACAGCTCAAAGTAGAAACAAAGTATTTAGGCAATGAGAATCCCGAGGATGACAGTCAAAAAAGATCAGGTCAATGTTGTTATGTTGACAGTATATGTATTCCACTCATTCAACCATATGTGCATGCTTTGACAACTCCACACAAATGCGGTACTTGGATTATTGAAAGTCTTTTACATAATGATTAAGAGTGGAGCGTCGAAAGACGCTGGCAATTCCCCCACTTTATCCGGTTCGAAACAGCAGTGAGGAATAGGGCTGGCGATTAAGAATCCACGATCAACCGATAGGACAAGGCTAAGATCGGGCTTAGCGATTACGTACGAATCGTAGAGACAAAGACTGCATTTAAGATCGGGACACTTACATCTATAAACGCCCTATCACATTCAGGTTGTTTACTATTAGTGCTTGATTTCCTTTAACATAACCAGGGGACAAAAGTTGATTGGATAAATATGAAAGGTGTGATTTAACGACACATCTAAAATCCGGGCTTTTGTAAAGCATACAAATGTTATAGTGACGAGTTAAGAAAAAGAACAATAGAAGGCGAGTTCCGTTCAGTCAAAATTCATCCTTCCGCTTCCTCCTTTCAAACCGGCGCTGCAGTGAGTGCTCGAGTGGGAGTATAATTGGGCACACAAATTCAAAAGCTGAAAGTCAGCAAGTCACCATCAGCACTCGTAAGGCTAGCGCTCTTTCCACGACTGTTGAAATTTAATTCCTCACTGAAGGCAGGGAAAGAGATGTGGGAATGTGCACGTCTGCACGAGTGGGAAGAGAGGAAGGAAATGGACGAAATGGGGGGAGAGAAACAGTAACAGACACAGGGGGAAAAAGAAGAGGCAGGAAAACACCCACACAGACAACATTCAATATAGACATTCGAATGTGTGCCTAAACAGGTTAGCATGATCCACACGTACGCCCTCGCCTTTTCAAGGGCGGGGCAGTAGGCCAAAATCCTTTCATTTACTCATCGTCAAAAGTCGACAAAGAGGTGAGTCCAGAAGCGACTTAATATTCAACCGAAGTTAATGACCTTAGCATGAGAACAAAATGTATAACTGCAAATTAGAGCAGAGCTATTAAGTCAAGGAGAATACCAATGTGGCAGATGGGAGTCATAAGAGCACTGAGTATCCTAATTTGGTCACTGCAAAATTTAAACAATTGACTAAATAGCATTCCACTTGAATGCTCAAGTAGACCAATCACACGAAAAGGTGCTGTTTTGAATGGGGAATATGAGTCATTAGGAACCGAGGAATAGCACTTCTATTCTAAGGCTGTGTAAGGGTGATTCGGCGACGATTGAGCAGACTCAGCTTGTGATTGTGTAAATGAGATAAGTGTACCAAAATGGACACGAACGTTTGTTATTTACAGCGCTCCTACTTCCCAGTACCTTCGCATCTGAAGACGCTGTCGGCTGTTCCGGGGGTGGATACAGACATAAAGGAGGGAGGCAAGAAGAAGGTAGAGATCAATCCAATTCAGTATAGAGGCAAAAATTAAAGATGAGTGGCCATTATGGAAGTGAAACGTCGAAGGGGTGCCTAAATGGACCCAAATACACGCAGTCACCGCATCAAGAAAACTTGTTACCACACTAGCATCACGGCACCAGCTTGAATCCGAATGGTTGCTGTGCTTTTCGCTGCCTACAATGTCCTAAGCACCACCACCAACGTTGATTAAGGAGATTTAGAAACTCACAGGATAGCAAGTTCCAATAAAAGCTGAGCAAAATTTTAATTAAACAAAGAGGGAGCAGGAGAATTAGAAAATTAAAGCTATCTGAAGTCGCATGACCTCCTTTTAAATGACCAATCAGTTTTTTGTCCATCCGAAAATCGTCGTTGTGACACAGACACTGGAAATTAGGCTATTATAACCCCATTATCTTGGTTTTAGAAGGCTGTAATGTGTTCCGCTGTCAATAAGTCTACCAGAAATCACGGGCAAAAGCTGTGGAGAACCATGAGGTGGGAACAATGCAGAAGGGATGGCAGTTTAGTCTTTAGGCGTTTGAAAGGCAATGCCTCTAAAACCCACTTAAAGGCATCTCTAGCGTCCGGAACACCTGAAAACTAAAAATAATGATAACACCCAAAATCAAGATAGTGGTCTTGTTTTCTACCATCTACAATTATCTTGAAATCTCCGTCGATATGATTAAAGACATCTACCTACATCCAGGGTAGCGGAATCCAATCCAAACATTGACGACAAAACTGGAATGAAGCAAGAGAGGACAAAGGGAGAGACAAGGAGGCCCATAGGGGGAAAAGCAACAGAGACATAAACACCGATACAATCAGTGTGGTGAAGACTCCAAGTTGACGCCCATTCACTTGTATGGGGCGAGGGGGTGAAGTCCAAGGGAATGGCAGAGGGAGTTGGGTACTCTCTTTTGTTTGTCCCTCTGGGCTGGTGCACGAGTCATGTTTATGAGTGTGTGTGCATGCGTGTGGAGAGTGAATCCCCTCTCCCGCACTATTAGCAGCGTCAGCAGCAACTGTAGCAGCGACAGTAATGGCGGGAATACAGTCGACACCATGACGACCATTGTCAAGAGTGAGTGCCAATGAAAGAAGGCAGAGAGAATAGATGAGCGAAAGAATGGCAAGCGCAGACAACGGTAAGAGTACGTATGGGTACAGTGCATTGACATTAGCACCGAGTGTGCATGATGCACTGCATTGCGTCACAGCACGACGTGTGGTAGGTGTACTAATAATAAACAGTAGGTCGCCCCAGTGAAGCGCGGATTCAGACAGAGTAGAAAAAAGTTGGGCGAGTAGAGACAAACATACACACGGTCGAATGTCGCCATTGCTTAAACTGGTGTGATTGTGTGTGTGTATGTGCACGTGTTTTATCCAGTGGGTGCCAAACCTATCACCCACTATGTGGGATCACACATGAATAAATTAACAAGTACTGCCATCAGGCCTAAAGTACACGCGAGAAGAAGTGGTGCCTGTCTTTCGTTCGTTCTTTCTCCCGGATAGGTAGACAGGTGAGTGTAAGGGGTGATAGAGCACCCCACCAGAGGGCACATGTACATATGCATACGTATGTGAAGATAGGAAGGAAGTATGAAAGTGAAGATAAGAGGGATAGGGGAAAGGGGTTAGAGAGGGAGAAGGCAGACCCATCATGCCATGTGTGAAAATACGCACGTACAGGAAGCACGGTTGACCCAAATTTTAGACACACCCAAGCACACACCCCAAAACATATATTTAAGGATAGAGGTAATGAAAGTTATTTTCAATTACGGTAACTATGACTTTATGTAAGCACTTGAGGAGGCAGTGACACAGTTTTGCCCCGAGAGGGCATAACAAATAATGGACAGTGGAGTATGCGAGCGATGTTTGCAAAATAAATACAGTCATACGCAATGTCATGCGTGAGTGAGTCACCAGAGGATGGTGCACGCACGCACACGCACATGAGCGGAGAGAGGGACGGATGGACGTAGAAGAGGAAGAAAAGGACAAGGTGGGCTGGGAAAGTCGCAAAAAAACATAACGGGCCCAGTCGGGATCAGAGAGAAACTTAAGCACTTCTATCGAATCTAATTCCTGCAAACACAATACGATTTTGGAGTGGAGATGGCAAGCTAGATACTCAAAAACAATACCATTAGGAAAAGAACTTAAAACTTTGTTGCTGGTCCGTCCTTTTAAGGGAAAAAAAGGAGGCGACTGGTTATGCTGTTTGGGAGCTCAGAGCATTAACACTGCCCATGCAGGGAATATTGTATATTCGTGGCTCGAGAAGCTTACGTGCGAAAAAAGTCAGAATATTGCATTTATACATAAAACTCAACTCCCGAGTCGAGTTTTAAATCGCCTAATCCACTGCATATGTCAAAAATTCAAAAAGCTTAACTTAGCCTATAAGTTAAAGAAACGTAAGCACTGCAGAATATTAGAATTTCCTATTGTTTTTTGGCAATTTTTTTGAAGCAGAATTGTTAAAGTGTACAAAAGCGTAAGGAATAGCTAGTGTAATGCATTTGCTGAGCAAAATTTTTAGGAATGTAAATACTACCGCGCTTAGAGTGTGAGATAGCGACTTTAAATGTCCTAACTAGACTACCGTAAATCCAATGTAGATCAAATTGATTTAGTCTTAACACATTTGTTTTAAAAACTGAATTTAAATTGCTAATGGTCAGGTCTGTAATAATTGAGATTGATTAGGCTTATATGCTAAACACAAGAGTAGAGAATCATAAATGCTTTATAAGAAATGATGTCAAGGAGGAGTAGAGAGATGCACGTGTTTGTTTGCTAAAACCAATCTTATAAACTATTACAATAAGCAGAAAATTTACCTGCTCTTCACTTTCGATAACGAGGCCAACTTTATCCTCAGTCAAGTTTTCTGACGATTTGACTTGCTCATCCTCTTCGCCTTCATCTTCATACACCTTGATTTCATCGGTGCAAGCAAGATCGTCTCCAGCAACGCTATTCATTTTGTGATTCAAAAATCTTGCTGATAATAGGTTAATTATTGATGAGGAGCAAATTTGAGACAAAAATGAAGTGATGAGGGGATAGCCGTCACATTGGAAATCAGATCTGGTGAGTAACGTCACTTCGATGCAAAACCAAAATTTTGGTTGAGATTTTCTTAGTACAAAGAAATGTATTTATTTAGCCGAAACATTTCTAAAGACCACATAGAGCAGACCAACTCAACGAACGTGCAAAATGGAATACCCGCACGTAGAAGCCGCCCTCCCAAGGTTGGCGTTCTTGTAATTGAACTAGCAAGAGTAAACAAATAACTTTAAACGTTTTAGAACTAAGCAGGTCATTATTGTTGTAATCGCTTGTTAAATTTTTAATGAAAGTATTTATTTCGCTGATGAAACTGTTGATTGTGCTAGAGGGCTGCAGTTGCTCAAGACTTTCCCCCAGAAAACACGGAACATTTTTCGAAAGGGACTGACTTTAAGTGCTTACTACCTAAATCTGTTTTGTAAACATACTTCGCCAATGTAATTTTTAGGGGGAAAGTGCTCAAGGCACACAAGTTTCTTAGTGGAAGGAAGATAGATTTTCGATTTTCAGTCTATGCTAAGGAAACTATTAAAATTGGTCCCTTATTTTAAAAATAGAAATAAAGAATGAATTTACTACAACTTCATAATGGGTGCTGCTGCTCGATCTCTAGCCTAATTTATAAGAAACCTGTAGATAACATCGACAAGTTATAAATTACTTTTGAATATTGTGTAATGCCTATATTGTTTAAACGCTTCTTTCAGAGAGGAGGCGGACAGGCCAATCAAACCTCTTGACTGAGGCATCAACGTCCTGTAACTTGGACGGCGGTTCCGCACCCACACTCCCCGAAACTTCTACTTACTTCCATCATTTACGTATCTTAATAAGCATGTCGAAATCGAATCAGCTTGAGTGTTCTAAGAGTATGGGAACATGGGACGAGGGGATCTACTAGCCTTGTCCTAAAATTGACAATACCATACGCACTCGAATTATCAGAAGTGTAACACAGAATGCACTACCGTAGGTTTGAATGATTTTGTCGAGTTATGGAGTCATTTGAAAACTGCAAAACCCTGTAATTTGACTCCAATATGTGTCATTAATATTACTTATTTACTACAAATCCGGTAACACACGTGAAAGCTGATGATTCTTTTTTTGATGCACTTTATAGACTATTTTAAAACATAAACAGAACCAATTGTGGGCTGAGCAAGTTGAGCTGTTGCAAATAAATTATTGGCATTTTTAATCAGGCAAACTATTTTTTCTGGTTTTTTTTGAAAGTTTTTAATACGATCAACATCTATTGTTCCGGTATTTCGTACTGTTGTGGGCTAGAGTGAGAGGCCGCTCTGGTCCATAGAGCCTATGCTTGTATTCTGCGGCACATTCCAAACGGCCCCCTAGCTCATGCTTGTGTGACTTATATATGCTCTTCTTTTCCAGCTCAGCTTATTCCAAACACAATAACGACTTAAAAATCCACTTTTATGGCACCACTAATCAAGTCCTTACCAAAAGTACAATCAATCAGATCTCCACTGCTAGACGCCCAACATTAACGTTGCGGAATAAAAGAAACCGTTGCCGGCAAATAGATTTGCATAAGTACGTAGCGAGGGAGTTAAAATGTCTCTTACCTTTTGCAATTATTTTTGTTTTCTACCCCATGAAAAGAGCATTTGTATGTGACCAATTTGGGAAAGTTTGTTATGGGACTGCATGTGATACCTTTAGTGATGTTAATTACGAAAACGGGTTACATCTCCTCCACGCAACTAATGACAGTATAAAACATAGGTAAAAGCTTGGCGATAGTGGAGTGGAAGGGAAGTGGCAAGGTTGCATGCACCATAGACGCTAAGCTTGCACAATCCCGCAAATCATGTTTGCTATCAAGTGGCTTTGAAATTAACCGATGTTTTTAAGGTTGTCAAATTAACCCTATTGTAGAACATGGTTTGGTCTTGGGCAAAGTAAAACTAACCTAATATTTCGCCAAAACAGCTACTAATATGGTACAACTCCTAATGCAGTAGAGATTCAAAAATACGGCTCTGATGTAGGTGTCTAATGCCTAACATGCAAAACAACCGAGAAAATGGCATTGCTAGTTCCCAAGCTGCTTTAGCGCACTGATTTTGTTGTAGTGATCGGCTTAAAAATATGCCTCAACGATGTTAATTTGCTTAACTGAGCTTTCCAATCACCATAACTACACTTTCAGTCAGCTAAGTAACGTGGCTGCAAAGTCATCATAGTAGCTGCCAAACCCTATCCATTCCATTGGTACATACTTTTATGCAGCATCCCGAGGCTCCCTGAGGACGAAAGAAGACACAATACTCGGGCAGAATATATATATTCAGCACGGAGGTGTCTGAGCTATTGGCATGGCCCAAAAGGCCAGCCCACCCAGTGAGGTACAAGGGGGCTAATTCACGGTACAAAAGTGGAGCATCACCAGAACCGTGGGATAAACCACTATCGTATTACATTTATACCACCTCCACCCATTATGGTCTCAGCAAAGACTCGGGGCTAATATGCATGCTTGATTTCATAGAGATAGTAGTTATTTTGCAAGCAGTATATGAACAAAGGGGGCCTAGAATAATTTCAACCCACAATTTTTATTCTGTGTATTCGATAATAACAGGTAGTCGATATTTGCAAGCGTCTGCTATTGTTTAAGTTACTCAAATGAGGTTGGATCTTTGACATAGCTCACAAGACTTGCACTTTTCAGCCCAGGATGGATGCGTTAGCCTCCTACGGTGGCTCGTCGGGTGGCGAATCCGATTCCCCACAAAATTCACCAAGATTAATTGCATCTTCTTCCTTGATCCCAAGTGTTAATCCAACAGCGCCGGTCGAAATAAAGGAGGATATCCTCAAGCTCGTTCCCGTTGATCCGCATTCAAATGAGTTGATACACAACCCCCGCTATGACCAGTTATTTGCGCCTCAAGTATGTAATCGGTCTTCTCTATTTACTGATTTTCTATATATCGATAGGCATCCTGTTGAGTACGGTTTTAACAAAGCAATCTTGACGTCGGTTTTTATTTACGTTTTTTAGGTTGGTCCTGAGAATCCTTTTGCGTCAGAACGCCAAAAGGCACCCAAAAACATGCTCACAGGTTTGGTTGAGCCAACGAATATTAACACATTTACGTTTGAGAATCAATATCGGACCTTTATGAGATATGGTAGGGGCTAGTTTTTGATCAATTTATCTAAGTCTAGGCTATTCCGACGATCCCAGCGTTCTTGGTGTTAACAAAGGCAAAGTTGTTGGCTCTCCTGAGCGTGTTGATGACTCGGAAGGTAATTATTCATTTGCTTTTTTTACCCCACTTGCCATACTGCTTCGTTTTTGTTTTTGTATATGAGTTTTATGGGTTTGAAAACTTGATGGGCTAACTGCTAGGTCCTTGAGGTTAAGAAATACGTGGTTTCGTTCCTTCTATTAAACGACACCAGATTGCTCGCGTTAGGTACCTTCACACTTTGCTAATCTTCATTTAGCAAGTCTGTATTCTGCACTTCCAAGGTACTTTGACTAATTGACAATGTACTACTATGGCTCCACCCATGCCAGTACTAATGTCGCAATACTGGTGAACGAATTCATTCAAATGATTAAAATTGTAATCGCTGAGGAGTGAATGATGACTGTGGTTCTTGTATTGAGGCTAGACATTAATATTAATGTGCCTTGGTGCTAATTAGATTCTCCGAACTATTTTGTGTACATAACAGAAAAATTGATTGCACGTTTGATAATTCGTTCACCCTACCCATTCCATGCGTTAAATGTTATCGCTCTTAATAGGTAAGACGGTGGCGGAGCGGAAGGGCACAAGTAAGCGGGAGAAACGTCCACGCGCCTACAATTGGGATCCCTCGAGTGAAGACTACACAGGTCCTTGGGCGAAGTACAAGGACGAGGTTACCATTTCCGTGCCCTCGGATGAGGACCGCGCCTACCTGGAGGCTTACCTGGCCAAGAAGGCAGTTAAGAAGAAGCGTGTGGAGGAGGCACCCATGAGTGAAGAGAAGTCTACTCTGCACATCTCTACACCCACAGACTACCAGGTAGATCGTTTTCACAATTGTTAGACAGTTCTTCGTAGGTGTCAACCCGCTGATTTCTATTTCATCCCTTTCAGGGCCGCTCTTTCCTGCATCCACCTCACGACATCCCTGGTGTCAGTTTGACAACAGAAGAACCACCAGAACGCTGCTTCTTACCCAAACGACTCATTCACGAGTGGAGCAATGCACACGCTCGTGGAGTGTCTGCTATTCGTCTATTTCCCAAATCTGGCCATCTTCTGCTCTCTGCTGGAATGGACAGTAAAGTCAAGGTTTGTCTCTACCTTTTCCAGCTTCCACCTTCCGGCCGTTTGATCTCAAGTTGCGTTAGGTCTAAGTTACCCATGGAGGCATAATAAGATGAATTAGCCTGAATGTGGCTTTATTATAAACGTAGTCCGTAAATCTGGAGTTTGGGCTGAATGGCGAGACTGGCGAGGCTCGCGTTCTACTATATGGTTCCGTTTCTCCCACTGTGAGCGCTGTTTATGGAACTCCACACTTATTAGGAGGTACTTGGGTGTATTTTAACCACTCACAAGACAGAAGTGCTGATTTGTACGATGGCTCTTCATCACCTTGAAACAACTTTCAAATTCAGGAATAGTTCTAATTGCAAAATGCGCTTTGTGGATTCATGTCTCCGGCTTTTGCTTAGAGCTAAACGATGTTTATACCGATCGCTTTCCATTGCAATATTCACCTTGTATCCAAATTCCATTTAATAAAACAATTTAAGGTAAACTCATCCCTTATTATCATCTCGTTTCCATTTACATGTCTCCTAACCACTCATTCGGGTTATTGTCTTTCATAAAGTGCGGGAGGTATCCACTCTTCAGATAAAACCCGTGTGTAAATTTGGTTTACGGTCTCTAAATTGATCAGTTCCATTCCCGCTTTATTACCTTCTATCACACTGAATCCCATGGCAGTAGTCGGTGCATTATCGATGAAACTTCTTTGTATTGAGTCTTTACTAATACCCGGTTTTGATGTCTCCTGTTGTAAAGTCTCACAGATTGAGTCTTGCGGAGGAGATGTCTCCCTTCTGTGTTGTTTAAGTGATACCGGGTTTTGTGCCTACGTTTGTTATTCCTCTGTTATATAGCTCTGGGAGCTGTACCATGACCGTCGTCTAATTCGCTCCTACATGGGCCACCGGCAGGCTGTGCGTGACGTGACCTTCAATACTGCGGGCACGCAATTCCTCTCTGCTTCCTACGACCGTTTTATCAAGCTGTGGGACACGGAATCGGGCAAGTGCACGGGTCAGTTTAATCTGAAAAAGGTGGCTTACTGTGTCAAATTCAATCCTGATGAGGACAAGCAGCATCTCTTCTTGGCTGGATGCGCGGACAAGAAGATCCTCTGTGTAAGTTCTTCCCAATCACTAGTAGAAATATCATCATGCTTATCAATGTTTTGAAGTCCTGTTAATGAGTTCACGAATTTCCTCCTCATTTCTACGTCAGTACGATGTGCGCAGCGGTGAGGTGGTGCAGCAATACGATCGCCACTTGGGTGCAGTCAACACGGTGACGTTTGTGGACAACAACCGACGCTTCGTCTCCACCTCCGATGACAAGTCGTTGCGTGTGTGGGAATGGGACATCCCTGTGGATTTCAAGTACCTCGCCGATCCCTCCCTCCACTCCATGCCTGCGGTCACTCTTTCGCCCAATGGTAATTCATCTTTTAGGGATTTATAAGGTGTAAGGTGTACCAGGTGTGTATTCCACAATAATTCCCCAATACCCCGAGAAAACCACGAGCCGTAGTCCAAAACAGGATACCGGGGTGAGTGCCAGGTCCCGGCACGGTCTCAGTAGCTAACTTGATTTTACTTTGCTGAAATCGTGACTATTTTTCTTTTGAAATATATCTACTAATCGCCAAGTTCAATGTAGCACCGGAATCTTCCCCGAAGACGTGATGAGGCATATTAGTCGGGAAGCATGTTTGTTATCAAACAAAAGGCAGGGCCAGGGGGCTCGCATTGGAAGACCCAAATAGGAACCTTTGAAAACTTTGTAATTTCTCCTACCCTTATAGGCAAGTACCTATTATGTCAGTCGCTAGACAACCAGATAGTGGTGTTCAACGTCTTTGCCGGCTACAAGCGGATGCGCAAAAAGCTCTTCCGCGGCCACACGGTTTCGGGCTACGCTTGCACGCCAGATATGTCGCCGGACCTGCGCTACATTGTCTCGGGTGACGGTGATGGGTTGATCCACCTATGGGAGTGGAAGACAACGCGCTTGCTCACCAAGTGGAAGGCGCACGACGCGGTGTGTATCGATCTCGCCTGGCTGCCTCATGAGACCTCCAAGGTGGTCTCGGCGGGATGGGACGGCGCCATCAAACTGTGGGATTAGAATTACCACGATTTATGCATGTACAGAACCATTCGTTCATTTACTCAGTAGGTGAGCGGTCGCGATGGTGTGTCAAAATTTTAACATCGGGTGTGTGCCTATTCCTATTTTTATCTTCCTTAATTTCCGATACTCCGGTGATTGAAGTATCTGTTCTGAGTCTGGGTTGGAGACAAATAAGGAGGGAATGATCACGGTTGTCATCACCTGCTGACGTGAGGCATATATTTGGCCGTCTCCGGTATTCCAGTTTTCTCAGTGGTGCTTCGAATTTAAAACCACGAATTTAGAGAGAGAACAGCGTAAATCTGCAATGGTCTAAAAATTTTGGTTTTATTAAAAAATCCACAGTTTCACGTATCAAAGGGTGAGGTATCTACTAAAGTCATCAAAAATTTAGGAAACTAGGTGTGTGGACGGAGAAAAGTGTCGAATTGAGAGAACGAAGGGAAAACCGGAAAGAATCCTATGTATTCTGCAAAAGACAGGGTGCTTCATCATGCCCCGGGAATCTTGTCGAAGAGGGTCCACGTGATTACAGCAAAGACGCTGCGTCGCGCCAGTCGGAGGTAGAAGCCACGCCATAGACCGGTGATTCCATCAACCCGAATTGTTTCTCGCAGCACTTGAGTCCAAGGAATCCGGCTTGTAGACTGAAAATTTTCCCCAAAAATCCGATCACATTGCGAGCCCGAGTGACAACCAATCGCCGAAGCGAACCAATCAACTAGCAGAACTTCCACCGATAGGCAACGTGGCCTTACAGATTGCCAATAGGTTTGACAGCAAGGCGAATTTAAATTATTCAAGGCCTTCTAAATGTTCACTATAGTTGAAGCCTAAGTATGCAGCGCCTCGCAACAAAGGAAATGTGTAAATAACCAAATTGGCTGAAAAGCTGAATTCCAATCGCACAACAACTACTCGATACGTCAAGTTGCTTATACGATAAGCTCTTGGGGAAGATGTGGTTTTTGCGACAAAGGAAAATTATTGCTTAGACTTTAGAGAAAATTCTCCCACAGGAATATACATTAAGGCCCTTGATGTTCATCTTTAAAATGGCAAGTAAATTTAACTCAGATATTTCTACAGATAAAATCCTTGAACCTCCTTATGACTTGAGGAAGAAAAATCCTTCCGAAAGCTTTCAATGCAAGCACTGCTGAGGGAATTCCATAAACTAACTGCTACTTCGGAAGTAAACAAATGATCCACTGTGTTCTTGCTTTTCCGTTGGTCGTTGTTATCAGCTTCCTACGGTTACATCACGGCAACGGTGGCATGAGTCCCTGCTTACGCCGCCTATATTGCTGGTATTCCAGTCCTCCATGTATTGGTTGAAGCGTGGGGGGCAACGGCCATGAGCTGCTTGAGCAGCGTAGCTAAAATTGCCTTCTTTTCAGAAGGATGGAATGATAATGGTGAAAGAAGAAGCAACGCACCGGAATGGCGGAGATGGAGAGCTGGCGGTTGGAGCGAAGCACATCAGCGGGTTGGGTGACTGCGGTGGCACAGATAGCGGCGAGAAGTGCGCAGGCGCTGAGAGTGTGTACAGGTGCCGTGGTATAGCTGGTATCGCCTTAAGACAGCGCAATGTAAACAGCTGTGAAGGCAAGATGAGAAAAACGCTTCTGGTTCATTTTACCTTCCTGCCAGATCAACTGGAGGCTTAGGCAGCTGCTCGTTCATCTTAAGTCGCAGACATGGGAAAGGAACGTTCGTGAATATTTATTAGCTAATTATTAATCGTGGTTTGAATCAAAGGAAATAGGACAACTATCTAAAGCGACGATGTTAACATTCTATCCGTTGGCTGCGCAGCCGAAACCGTTATAAATCCATTGGCACTCGAGCAGCAGCTGAAGCTGATAGGGATGTTGGCCCGGAAGAGGGTTCCACTCCGCCAGTTTAGTCAGCCGCACCGTCAACCGATAGCATTGGCAATAGGATAGCGGCATTCCACTATGATGTGACAATAGTGTGACTTTTGATTCCTCGTTCAGACAGCACGAAGACTTGTTCCAAGTGAATTTCGCTTCGTAGGGTGGGAAATCTGTCTTTGGCGTCGCAAATTGGGTTTGGCAGAGTTTGATCAACATTGTAACCTGATACTACCACAAAATCTACGAGACAGCGAAGTCTCTGAGGCAGCACTTCGACGACCGACTATTACCCTTCAGCACGCGATACAAGTGCTTGAAACTGATAATGAATGGGGTTGATGGCTTCTTGACACAAGTTGAAATCGTAAGTAATAAGTACGAGCGTTTCAAGCGGAATTTTCGTAACTGCCGTCCGATTCAAGTCGCTTATTGCCCATCCCCATTCCTCGATCATCCAAATTCGTAGACATTCAAGTATATCCGCTTAAACATCACACTTGATGCAATCACTGAAGAGTATCGAAAAATAGCAGCGCTGACTAGTCAGTCTACAACGTCACGATGGCGGCTGTAGGTAGCATCCATAACTCACAGACTTCTACCACTTTCAACATTATGTAGCAGTAGTATCTTTATATAACGCCATTTTGTTTGACTAAATTCAAGATAGAACCAAACCTTTAGCGAAACACGATAGTTTAAGGCATTCGCAATCATTAGCATGTCTTCCCCAGCCGAAAATAGTCGGCAGCTATTGTGGAACAATTTCCAAGCATCCCTCGGGCTCGTGGTGCATTACTTCAATTAAGGCTCCGTTGTCGATAAGTCGTGATCGTGATGACAACTACAGGAAACACCACAAAACAATGATAGCTGAACAGTCTCGTGCTTTCCGAATGTACCAAAAGCAATTTTTATTGCCGGAACAAGAAATCCACCACCACTGTCAGCCGCTCGATTCGATTTGAGAGAACTATCGGATGGTACCGACCAGAGAATAGTCGATGATCCCCGAGTAAGCACAGTAGACGTACTTGGCAAGACGAGATTCTTGAACTGAGTATAGAATAGGAGATAGACACCAGAGTATGGGCTGTCACGCGCCAGAGTTGGTAGAAGACCGCTGTAAATTCCTGAAGAAGGGAAGAACATTACAAATGGGCACTTTTACACCGTAATGAGGCGAGAACGCCTGAAAGGGAAGGACAGTTCCATAACAGTACAAAACGAATGCAAACAAGCAGTCAAGAAGAGACAACCTCGCCACTTAGCCGTCGAGTAGATCCAACAAAGGGATGAGAACGTGGAACGTCCTCTCGTCAGTCCAGCTTCTGCTTGAGATTTTACGACGGTGAAGGGAAGGAGAAGGGTCCCCACAAGACAGCGGCTCGTGAAACCCAAGGTGAAGGCGTCCACAGCAGAAGACCCACACCTATAAGCCGGAAAGAAGAATGTTCAAAGGAGTGTCTTTCGCGCTGATGCCATCATCCATGCTAGTAGTGCATCAAAAAGGAGTGAAAGGACGATATGTTGGGTAGGCGAAGGAACTTGTAAGAAACTGCAATAGCGAATGGTTATCGAAATCGTGTTGTTTCGGCCAATAATTTGATCAACAACGAAGAATAGGGTTTGAATAAGTTCAAATACAGTACGGTATACAAAATCACTGAATTTGTGCAGAACCTGAGTCCGCAAAGAAACCTTACATTGTGTTTTTTACTAAATGAACTTTAGCTTTCAGGCAAATATTCCTCCAGAGTCGCTGGGAAAATGAGATTTGCTCGCAACATAACATCTTCCGGTCCTCAGTAAAACATGGTAAATAAGTCTCGACAATGAATTTTACTAGTGATAACATTGGTAAAGTAGAAATTCGCCTTTAAACAATTAAGAGAACCGTTTCATCTCAAGGGTGATTCCAATACATTTACCTTATGGCAGCCGAAACAGAGGCAAACGTTAAAATCGCCGAGGATGACATTCAAAAGAAGTATGAGGCACTACACTTGACAGCGCAGGGCTCTACTCTGTCACGGTCCAACTATTGCGGTGGAAGAAACGTGAGTCCTTCTCGTGTTATCTAGGCTTTCTGCCTCCTAGCCCTTCTATGGGTTGATAATAAAGTTATCCACGGACCTAAATCCCCTACTATTTCTTCAAAGAGTGACTCGGAAAATGCGGAGGAAAAAAATTTGATGAAGACACCTGGGAAGATGTGATTGGAAGAAGTTAACAGTGGTAAAGTAGGCGAAGACACCAGGCACAGTGCGACACAAGGAGGGCACCGTACCCGCCCAGAAGAGACGAATGCGATGAGCCCATCGATTGTGAGGTGGCACGCCGGACCAGAGAGATTTGGCGGTTCGCAGGACGCCAACGCTCGAACGCCTAAAAAGCCAAAGCCAGTGATCATAAAAGGACACCAGGTTAACTCACATGTTGAGAATGGGGAGAACTTGGAGTCTGGTCTTGATGACATCGAGGGGTTGAGTAATTACTGCACCCAGAGTGGCTGAAACACTACTGACAAGAATGACGTACGAGGAAGGTTTGGTCCGGAAAGCAGAGCTATTCGAGTTGGCCATTAGCACATAAAAATTTCTATAAAGACAAAAACATTCAAGTTACTTGATTATACAAACCTAAAGAAAGTATAGTGACGGATGAAAATGCCAAGGAGACCGCCAGAAAGCTTTCATATCATACAAAGACTGAGACTCGCTAGCTTATGGGCATAAGGATTTATGACATAAGTGGCACAACGGATGAGCAAAACAATTGATCTTCAAATTGCCTAATAGAACCCCTGAGTTGGCATAAAATCCTTAAAGTGACAAAAACCATCGAGGTTGCTAAGTGTCGTACGAGAGGCTTTTCAGTCAAGCATTATTGTTAGTAAAGCCAAATCTCCCTTAAATTTTAAAAGAGCTGCTACTACGTCACTATGCATCTTGTCATTCACCAAAATAAACTTACCAATGAAGCTTATTTCTATTGTTATTTTGATGAAACAAAATTTATATGCCAAAGCCCTTTGCAAAGTATAGCAAAAATTTTGTGTTGTTAATAGATTGTGTGCAAACCTCAAATCATTCCCTCAGCAGATACGAAACGGCAGTACCAACAACCAGCTGAAGACTATCAAACCACGCGTCAGCTGTGGCGCGAATAGACGACCAAAGAACGAGACCAACCAATACGGCGTGTCTAAACGATCGTTGAACAAGTTATTTGACCTCATTTTGGTGCTTGTAAACAAAGAGAACATTGTTTACATAAATCTCATTGATTGATCATGGTTCCAAATAAAAGTAAATCATTATATTTTTTATGATTTGTGCCACAAATTGCAACTATTTACAGAATGATGATAATGTCTGACACGAGAAGCATGCGAATATGTTGGAAAAAATTGATATGTTTATTGTCGCTAAAATTTTTTTTAAATAACAGCCGATTATTACAAAGTGTCGTAGGTATTTTGTGTCAAACGCTATTTCGTATACGAAGTTGGGATTTTAAGAGAAGTTAGTTATTTTTCTCAATTTTCCTCCTCTTTCGGACTTCCGAAATTGCACAAAAAGTGGATAAACTATCGTGGCCCTTTAAATCTTTACCGTGGTAGCAATAGGTCAAATTGATATGGAATCGCATGTATCACTTACGGAATGTCTAGTATAGCGTTCCGAGATTTCCTTGAAGACGAAAGAAGACATAATACTAGGGCAGAATATATATATATATATTCGGCAACTAAGAAGGTATTTAGGCTACTGGCATGGCCCGAAGGCCAGCCCACCCGGCGTGGTACAAAGGCCAGCTCAAAAGTTTCTCCTCACCAAAACCGAGAGACAAACAACCGTCGTATTACTGTAGGGCAAGACTCGCAGGTTTCCTCTTCCCTGTTCCTAGTGCTCTTAGAATAACTTGGTCAACTTAATTTTGACATATTTATTAGAGGGAGGTGGATCGGGAAAGCAGGTACAAAGTTTAGGGAGGGGAGGAACCACAATCGGTCCCAGACTTGGGAGACGCTAACTCTGTCACCAGATTCAAATTGTAACTTACCTCCTCTCTGAAAGGTACATCAAAATAAAACAAGTATTACATTACACTAGAGGGCCTTTAGCATGTTGAAAGCATGAATTTTCACAACCGAATTGTCAAGGGAATTAAACACATTGTCGAAAAAAATGCAGAATCACTGCACCACACCTTCACATTTCCACGTGTGGTTCATTCCACACAAAATAAAGGTCGAGTTATGTGGTCCCTCGAGTTTTCTCTGAAATCGGAACGGTTCATATCAATATTGGAGAAGAAGGACTCAGAAGCCGTGTATGAACTCTAGATTGTGCTGTCTAAATGAATCCAGGGGCTGAATCGCCCACGTATTCCATTACACATTGCAAAAATACTGGTCACTGTAGTTTCACATTAATAAATGCAATAAAAGACAAAAAGACTAATTTGGGCTAGCAAATTTAGGTATTCAACTGTTTGAAGTTCCAGATTATTCACGAACTTAAATTACAGAGAGAATAAGCTCAGAATACAGCGCAATTGCATCCGGTGCATCAAATTCGCCGGTAGAAGGAAGTCTATCAAATTCGTAAGCAATTAACATTTAATATAATACTGTGGTAGACTGTGGACGAAACTCATTGTTTCTAACAAACATATAGTGCTTTATCTAATTGTTTAACGCCTTATTTTTGGTTTCAGGGATGCATAAGGCCCCGCTTTTGCCCTTCAGCTGGGTAAAGTGGTCTGCTGACCATGCAGTAGTCTTGGTGTGCTTCAACCAAAGACGTTGTAAGAAAGATAATTCGGGTATTGGACAGAAATCGGTAGCTATGTAACCGTTTAGTTGTTTGTTCAACTCTCGCTTTGGGTAGTGGGCTACTTAGGGGCTCCGTCACTGTACTGCCGTCAGGCGGTTTGGCCTCCGATTTATGTCAGTTGCCTCGGATCATTCAGTGAGTGGACAATGCATATTCTCCTCGAGTTTTATGTCTTTCTTTGTCTTCGGGGATTTTTCGGAGCACTACATTTTACAATATCCACGGCCAGTATCACTTCAATGTTATGGCACGAATGCTTCCAAGCGAAAGAAAAGCATTATGTCAGATTTGACAGCTCATCAATTGCAGAGCCTTCAGTTCTTTTAAACACCTAACTAAACTAAATTTTAGGTGTGTTTACCAGAAAATTTAATGATCTAGGTTCAAAGTTAATATTTTTTGAAAAAAAAACAAACAAAGGGATGCTTTTGGACATGAGTGATTCGCCTTTTCATATTTTACCCAATAAAGCCCAAAACTTACCTTGATATAGTTTTTTTGCCCGTCATATGGGAATCCACCTGCAGGTAGGTAAAATAAGCGCGTCCTACTACAGAATTCACTAGTACAAAAAATACACAATAAAATTGTCTCAAAAAAACGAAATTTTCTTCTAGGGTACCATTTTATATACCCAGTACTTTCGTAAGTTGGTAATTGTACAGCACTAAGACTTCTTTCAAGCTGAAAGAAAGCAATACTCCGGCAGAATGCGTGTTGTCGATGCATAGTGGGGCTCGGGGCTACTGGCATGATTCAGAGGCCAAGCCACCTCGTGGTAGTACAACGCCGGAGCACCTGTGGCCCCTTCACCGAAACGGACATGGCTTGGGTAAACTTTTCAAGAAAATTCGTCTCGCAAGATAGCTGTGGCTACATTTTTGCTTCGGGCACATCCAACCCACTCGTGAACTGACCTCGATCCCAAGGGGGATCGAAGGGGATGCTGGAAAGTGACATCATACGGTAATGCTGCCTACTTTGTTAGTGGTAGTACGCACTTTGGCTTCGTTCTGGATATCTAGAAAGCAACCAGTCTAAATGCTAGTACGGGGCATGCCGTATCCAAATCCCTTTTGATGGGGTAGTATACAGGAAGGACATTATGTAAATTGTTGATATCAGGAGTACACAGTAAGGTTGGATTACATTCATTAAAACGTCACCTTGCTTCATCACAGAACATAGTGCTAGAATTTGAGGACTTATCAAATTTCGATGTTAAGTTGATGGCCCTTCTGTGGTGAAAGCTCTCAGACTAACGTCGGTAGCAGATACCTTCCTTTCTTAAAGTTTTGTTTTGAAGATCAGCCACAGAATTAAGGACCCTACTATGGTACCCCAAATGGAGCTTCCTGTAAAATCGCAAGTCCTTCAAAGGAGATAAAATTATTCGATGGAGAAATGATTCCATTGAAGTTGTAGATAGAGCAGCTGGATTCACTGCCTTGACGCTAAACGTTTCGAATCGACCTGAATTGTGCACTTATCATCGCCATCATCGCCATGTCAGTCGAAAATTGATCTTTAAGGTCACTGCCCCAATCGGTTTAGCGCTGTAGATGCCTTAAAGCATTAACGAGGGATGCATTTACGTGTTTCCTGGGTGCATTCAGTAGACAGTGGCTTGTAAAATGCTTCGCTTCGATCACTTTACACTTATAACCGAATTATAACGAGATCTGACTTAATAATAAGGCGGACGATTGCTGCGCATATGGAGATGTTGTGGAAGCAGACGCAGCACAACGAGGGAAATCAGATCCGTGCATCTAGGAAACAGAGCCATCGAAGATATCGATGCCTTATGCCTCTTAACTGCCAAGGCAAGACCAACCACGGCTGCTAATTCACTCAGTTTTATCCTTATGGCTCTTTTCGAATAAATGAAGTAGAGAAAGTTGCTGCCCGATACCATTCAGCTTTTAACGAGCATTTGAGGTCTGACAGTGTTTTCATACAGCATCTAGCTTATTCATCATTTTCGTTTAAGGAAGGCTACTAACTTTTCACCAATAAGGGGAGGTATTGAGATGAAACTTACTGACCCAGTCGTCAACTAACTGACTGTCTGATTGGCATTTAAAAGTTGGGCAATTCGCCCAAATCTTGATTTTGCAAGCTGCGAACACCCCTTCTGCTATTGTGGCTCGTTCCCTTTGAATAGGAAAGGTGCATGAGGCGACTGTTTACGGGCGAACGGCTTGATGTAAGGCTTTTTCTTTGAAAAGTAGGCGTTTTGCAGTTTAATGCTGTGATTTTATTGTTTAACTCTTTGTTTTGTTTCTGCGGGCAACTAACGCTCAACTTTTGTACCTCTGCTGGGCGGCGTGACCCCTTGGAAATGCCAGTAGCCTCTCGACCTACTGTACGCCGACAATATATAGTCTGTGGCAGTATTATGGCTTTTTTCGTCCTCAGGAAAGCCTCAGGGTGCTACAGTGGTGGCAGCGCACGTAAACCGATCCAAGATTACTAATATCCTGGTTTCTACTCCTGGATGGTAAACCTTAGCATGAAGGCAAGAAAGCGAATACTGTGGGTGGGAGAATCCATGCCGACCCCTAACAGGAGGGCTGAAAATGACATCTGCCTTCAGCAATTACCTCAGTCCCGTGTTCTGCTGGATTGCCAGTACAACTGGAGCAATAGTAGCTGTAGCCATGAATCATACGGAAGAGTTTGTTACAAAGCTGTCCGCGGTACCTCTATTAAGGTGTCAATGTAATGAACACACGATACCTCCATTACCACTCCACTATGTCTGGGGATCCCTCAAGTGGTGGAGCTTGTGTGGACGCAAGACCTTACTTTAATCAAACTAATTTCAACCCTCTTCTTCATTAAAAGACTCAGCTTTTGGGCCGATATTCTTACCGCCTTGATGTAAGGCGTCATTCAGTTTTTGGCAGTATCCACAATACCGATCCCAGACAGGCGGAAACTCCAGATCCAGCTGAATTACCAGGAGAGGTCAGTGACCTCGTGGTCCAATATCGTCTCACTTGCACCCAAATTCGATGACTGGAGTGGCCTCTTCGTGATAGTTTTCAAAACGCCTTCTGCGTTGTGTTGATCGACGAGGGATGTTGGCTAAGGGAAGTGATGAGGACTACTGTCAAAAGGAGAAATGGGCTACGTAATGCTAGGTAATTCGCTCAATTCACCGTTTGATTGAGTGCAAACCTCAGTCTCCGAAGACTGTAATTCCGCTCGGTGACGTGGTTTTCGGGTCATACCAATAGAATCTCCAGCTCTCTGTATGGCATTAATGCATTTCCCACTTTACCACTGCAAGTTCATAGCGTTATTATTAGTTCAGACTTATGCTAACTTCGACACTTTTCTGCAAATATAGTCAACATTAATCCCAGAAATGACCAAAATACCATTCCAAATTTAGAAAACTAGAAGAACATGTGGAGCAGAGCACGTGAAAATATTTGTGGCCGTCTTAATGGCTTTCGAGGTCTTTCAGAAGGGCTTGGAATCTACCAAAATGGCTTGGAGGCCAGACCACCCAGCAAAGTTACAACGGCGTAGGCCTGAGTAGTCTGATACCAAATCCATCACTTCGAGGAGCTGCAGGCATTCTGCACTGCTTTCAAGTGCGTTATTAGGAGGGATTTCTTCCGATTGTTAGCTGGTTGACTGACTGGCTGAATGACGGACCAACTACTGTGTTGAGAAAAGACTGTTGTAACATTTTGGCTATCAAGTGGATGAACATAATAACGGTTCCCTACCACTGATTCACCACCCACCCTACATCTTGTAGACATGCTACACTCCACACCCAGAAGGCTCTGCTTCTCTTCTACATGCCTGCCTTATGGACTGGGGGGCGATTATCTATACTCACAGAGGACCGAATTGTCAGTAATATAATACACTCACCAGCTTTCAAGGAAGTCGTTTCGCAAACACTCCTGAGTAGTTGATCAGTGGAAAAATTGGCACAACTATTCTGGTAAGACAGGTTTGGATTCGGGGTTGGAAGAAGGACATTACCGCCTACACATCTCAGCATTCACCCTATTTATCTACACCATAGACTCACCATCCAATCTAATCAAAAGGTATTCTTGTCCTACAGATGATCTGACAGGCTGCTGGTGTGACACGGAGACCATGCTGTTAGACGAAATTACAAACATTCTTACATTTCTTTGGATTTATTAATGCAAAGTTGCAGTATCTCGCTAATTTTGACTGTTTTTCTTTACAGACGTGGCCACTTCAGTCCCTGAGGTTTGCAGACTCTATCTGGTAGCGCACGCCTCTGGCCAGGCACACAGCCTCCCAGATCATCTGCACGAAGACAGCGACTGCTCTTTGCACAAAGTTGGCCCAGCTCAACATCAGACAAGTCTCGAGAGATTGCATGACACGACAGTTGTTTTGCATGGAATGAACCACTCTTCCTGAGGTATTAACAAGGCACTACCTGACTGCCACGCATGAAGACGTAAATGTGTAGTGCGGTGATTTTGCATTTTGTTTCATTATGTGCAGCATTCCATCGACAATACAGTCACCGAAATTTGTGTTTTCCGCATGCTAATGGCAGCATAGTGCTCTTCTATGAGTTGGTAGTGCATGTATAGGCCTTACGACTTCTCTCGTCCTCAGGAGTGGTACAGAGCACAGCGCTACTCAAGGCTGATGAAATAAAGTCAGAGCTGAAATCTAATTTTGAGGACAATGAAGAAGAAGTCAGCATCCACGTTATACGTGGATGGGTAAAGAGGGTGTACTCTCTATCGCAGGTGGGATACAATTGCATTTGTCCCACTCCACCATGCTAGCTGCCTGCGCTTTACACGCACCGCTCAAGTTCCTTTCGAGATCCGCGAATCTCAAACGATTCAATTTTGCCTTGTCAGAAGATGCAGTCGAATCAGTTAAGTCATTTGCTAGCCTCAGTCATTCTAGAACAAATATAATATCGCCCCGAGACTTCCTGAATGCAAAAGGGGTCACCACACCAAGAAGGAATGTGCAATCCCAACGAACGAAAGAAGAAGGAGGTGGGCTACTGGTATGGCCCGGAGACCATGCTACCCAGTGGAGGTAAAAAGGGTGATCCTTAAGTGCCTTGTCAAGCCACAACTGAGACTCCAATAAATAATCAGGGTTCCACAATTATAGCGACAACTTTCACCTTTTCATCCGAAATAAATTACTCAGAGTGGCATCAGGTTGATGGTGTATTGGGTAGAGGTCACCACCCAAACATGCACTTGTAGGAACCTCAAAATAGTTAGGAAATGGACTTGGAGGTGAACTGCTTCCATCTATTTAAGTTTGTTTCCCACAAAAAGCGGTGCCATGAAACTGTTATTAGGTACTTCCCTTTACTTCAGGCAGTATGACCATCATTTACAGCCATAAGTTATTTGTACTTGTGAGTTGACCATCACTTGGGATTATTCCTACCATTCATGGATGAAATTATGATGAATTAGTGCATGCATTTGTTGGCTCTTAATTCGTCCACCTACCTCCATTTCCATCGGACTCATTATGATGTCCCTTTTGAATGGATGGAGCATCTAATGAGGCCAGTCGATAGAGGATACTAGCTGAACTGAACTACATAATTCTATACTATTATGGAATTTATGCCTTCGGCACTCAGAAGCCAAGTGGTACAAGTCACTCTTGCTTCATGTCTACACCTTTGACCCTTGCTTTGTGTTTCTTACAAGCAAATACTGTCTTACCGGTGGTACATAGATGCTGGGCAAATTTAGTGTCTGAAAGGCTACATTAAACGACTGGATGTGCATGTTGAGCGAATTTCGCCAAACACGCAAACGTGTCAGATGAACAGCTGGAGGCCACACTAACCTCCTCTTAGCCACGCCGTACGTCGACAAATCATTCTCTGCCCCAGCATTATTACTTCTTTTGTCTTCAGGTAAAGCACAATGCGCCATACTGTGATCTTCAGGTTACTTGATTTCATCAGCAGTATTCTCGTCTTCATTAATTTAGTCACAGTTATTCTCGATGAAAACGAAAAGGGGAAGGGAGTTAACACATTCTACAAGCAGGACGTGGAGCAGGAAAGCTTAGTACAGAGAATGTTGGTTGATTTGTATAGCTGGAAGTTGCACACCTGTGCACTTTAAATGCCTTCCTTGATGGATATTTGTTATAGTCTTCAGTACTGCCATGAAATAGAGAAAATAGGGTTGCAAGTGGTAAAAGACTGCTCAATTTTTTGAATCAGTGGACATGGTTGTGTAGCAAATTGACGCACCAAATGGTCCCTTACCTCTTCGCTGTTTGTTAGTTTGCCCATCGCAAAGGCCCTCCCACCATGGCCATAGCCGCCTGACGCTCTGCGTGCTAACAGTAAACGCTCTTATGGTCCCGCAGATTCTGCTGTAACTTTGGCCAGGGCTCGAGTTGCTTCACTTGCAAAGTGAGTTGATTCGACTACGATGTATTCCAAATGTGGTGATGTGTGATGTGCCGAAAGCATTTTTTGTCAACTGATAACACGAGTTTAAAAATTACTTTATATAACTGCTCGTTTACAACCTGATCACTTATACGTATGATTTGTCAATTGCGCTGTTCCGTAATACACGCTCGATTGACTACACAGTTTGGGTGGCAAGCCCACAGACTGGTCCAACCGCATTACCACGAAGGCCTGACTGACTTTCGAGAGCGGGAACAAATTCTGCTGCACCCGCAATACTGTAGCCGTTTTCAAAATCTCACATTGCTACTGCAAATGCTGTTTCCCCCCGACCAGCATTTCCAAACCAACTGAGCCTGGAGGTAGAAGGGAAAAGCAACGACAGCATAACATTTCAAACCCGTTGGCGTTTGAAAGTAAAACAAACTATGCAACTTATCTCAGCGTGACATGCTAAGCAGTATGGAATCCGTGATTAGGGAATGAGGAATTGTGAATGGATTAATAAACTACGCTCCGGACCTAGTTACCATAACTATTTGACTGGCAGTTCAATTCATGACTCTCATATGTTTCCTTTATTTGTCAGAGTTCATTGGATTCAAAGGTGAATGTGTAATGTAGGATCCGCAAGTAATCAACTCTTTAGGAGGAGGTCAGAGACTGCCCCCTTACTGGTGATGAGGACGCCTTCTCAGTCACGAGGTCGGTCCAATGTGCTCGCTTGCTACCCAAATAGATGATAGCCCATATACAAAACACCCAAGAAGTTGAATTCACCAAATCCAAACTTACAAAGCAACTAAATTTAATCTAGTATTAACAGACAGTGAAGGAGTGGAGAAGACAATTAGAGACATTTGATTTATCAGGGACAGATCATAGAATTGGATATTTATCATCTATTCTACTCATGGGGCTTGGCCCACTCATCTTACTGAACTACTCAAACACTTGTATAATACATTGCATGTTTGTTCAACACTAAGCTTTGTTAAGGAAGTGACTTAGGTGCTCCGCCATTGCACATTTGCCGGACGGACTGGCCTCCGGGATATGTCAGTGGCCCCAAGCCTTACTCCACGTCGTCAGTGGACATTCTGCATGAGTATTACATCTTCTTTCGTCTCTGGGGAAGTCAAGGAGGGCAGCACTTGCTTATTTGTTGGCAGATGTAAGCAAAGTAGTTTACAAAATATTAGGTTGCCATTTTAACCAAAATGGCTCTATGAAGAGATGAGTTGTCAAAACTTGTATTTCATTGTATTTTGCTTGTCATTTGAGCAGAAAGAGGCGATAGACATCACGCCTACATAAACTTGCGAATTCTGGATTCTTGCGAACAAACCCGGTTTGGTGGAAACACCGAACCAAATTGTTTGGCGTGACACAGCGGATTACCAAACTACAAGTGGGATGGTCACAGGGAAGGCCTGAAAAATAGGGGGATCCGTCCCATGAGGCAGTCAGTCCAAATGTCTTAATAAAACTCTTAATAAAATCCAAAAAATTCAGACAGTCAGAAGTTTATTCAGTAGATTGGCACTTCTGTGATGATGGGTTTCACTGTCATTCAGTGCTAGCATTTGTCCGTTCTTCACCCTTGTGTTTTGTCCCAATTTTCACTGTTCCATAACCCTTTGCATTTTGAAATTGACGTCGTGTGTGATTCGACACATGAAAAAATCACATTACAAAGTAACAGGTCCACACCAGTTAGGGGGATGTTTTGTTACCTCAGATTAGATGCAAAGCTATAGGTGCGTCCAAAGGTCGTGCCTGTATTTGGAAGTACAAGACGCAGAAGCTGGAGGGTTTTCGGAGTTGAATGCACTTCATAATATATAATTAACTCACTCTTCGCTCCGAAACTTGTCTCTGTCACACACTAGGATCCATCTCCCTCCTTGTTTATGGTAATTCCAAGTGAAAACCACAAATAACTAAGGTGTCTTATCTGGAAGGTGATGGGGATATCCAAATAGCCGCAAAGCAGAACGTATTGGGAAGATTTCATTTCGAAGCCCTTGTTTAGGACTGGGGTGTGTTCTACAGCGGAAATGACCTAAAACCTCATTAACGGAATGAGGCTGCAAACATTGCTATACGAATTCTTTTAAATCAGGCTAAGGTTTTCGCCGATTCCATCTATTTATTTCAAAAAGGTGTCTTGTCCACTTCAATTAATAACTAATGGAGCAGAGACAGAGGATGTGGAACGATTGAAATTGAGATAAGGTAGCAAGTTGTAACAACTGAAAATTATCTGCCGTCTTCAACTAAAGATGACTACTTTTGGGCTGAAGGGATTCAAGCCCGTCATTAGCAGTAACGCAACTGCTATTCCTTACAATGTAGTTTGTGTCAAGGACAAATTTGTGGATCCATCAGCGTCTTTCAGTTCATCAACAGTGTTAGGGTTACAAATCTTCAGTCCTCTCTTGTAGGTAGCCGCCAAAACACGCCCAATGCAGTAGAGTGACTACGAGCAGCATAATAGACTGCTCCCAATCTGTCCAAATTTTCCTTAAAATCATTGGGGTTTATCTGTCATCTTTAATTAGAGGGATCTACCTTCCGACTGTACTTATGGTTCTACTTTGTGCAACATTGTTAAAGCCCTTTTTCGAAAGACCTTTTCGAAGGACAAGTACAAATTCATAATTTTATGTTTTCCCTCTCATTTTACCATGATGCCAAAAATGCCCCCATCCCTTTTATTTTAGGCCAATCCAGAGCTTTTTGCAAAGCCTTTCTGCGCGCGCTTTCTTCCTCCCTCATTTTCTTTTGCTCACAGAGCCTTCCTTTTTTCCATGAACATCCTCTGGTACGTGGCGCGTGATCTTGTCCAAACAGTCACATTGTTTTCGAGGCGACGCAAAATTACGCTTTTACTTCTACAATGAATGTAAGTTTTTGAAAACCGCATTTTCATACCATAAATCGAGCCCGCAATGCTGTAGGGTATTCTCGCATGCGAATCAACTCCTTCCAGTACGCCAAACGCGCCAATAGCGAGCGATTCCTTGGCCGAATTTCGTGTGGTTTCAGGTACAACTCCAAGCTGAAAATTGCACTAGCCATTTAGGAGGTAAAAGACAAAGGACTGTTTGTGTGCACCTTGAGGCTTTAATGTAGCAGCCTATTGACAGGGTACCCTTCATTGTGTTTCTGACTACCGTCCCTTATTTCACACCTTCATGTCATAAAACTTTGATTGAACAAATCGGGTTGATGTGATTCGAGCATGCATGCGTTGCAAGCCGAGGTTAACTCCATCCCAAAGTCAACAAACCTGTTCGCAAAATTTGGTGGTGAGAACAGCGTAAAGGTACTACGATGGCAGAGCAAATTACTGCACAGAGGTGGTTTGACCTTATTCAGATGGCGTATCAAGCGAGGCTAAATCGTGAGCGATAACTCTCGGTGGAGTTTAAGGTGAATGACACAACAACTCGTTCACTGAATGAGTAACATGTTTAGATCACTGAATCCTGCATCGCATTTTTGGTTAAGCAGACGAAGGCATTGACAATTCTCTACCAACAATTCACTACAAAGCCTGCATCTACCCCTGAGATACACTTCACTCCACTCCACGCCAGAAAGTCTCTGCCTGTCTTACACGTGTGTGTGT